TATTGTTTTTTTTTTGTTTGTTTTGTGTGTTTTTAAGGCATTGTAAATGTTTTGTTGTTTAAATTTTGATGATGAGGATGTAAACCTGAGGGGGTAGGGCTAAATAAGTATACACTTCTCCCTACTCCTTTTCAAACAACTGTATGGAATGATTTTATGAAATGTTGGTGAATGTATATGTTTGAAATAAAGTGAACTGAACTGAGATAAGAAAGCTGAAATATACTCCAGAACCAGAGTGTAGTTCCAGCTTGTCGCCACTGGAGGGCGATCATCCCCCTCATTAAAAGCTGAGTTTGTAGCACTGTAGCTGGGTTTGCCACTTTAACTTCACACGTGTTTAACACTTACACACAAATAATGTTTTATTGCAAGGTGTAATGTCCAGCAATGGTCAGTTTTTAGGTACAGTTTGACCATTCAACATCTGGTCAAAGTGGAGACACGAGACTGCATGTGTTCCCTCTAAATCAGCCTGCCTTCATCCCAGCAGCTGGAGCTCAGAGTCTCTCTGCAGCTCTGAACACAGATAACGAATTGTCCACAATAATGTTCTCTCCTCAAGGTCCATCCTTATTGTCCTACAGGATTCTTCATGCCTAACACTCGCAGCTCGGATCAATTGCTAAATCAAACAATGATTAAATTAAATATGAACTTCTAAAACTTATAAGCTAGATAATCATTAAATAAACGTTTGTTTATTGCTACTTATAATAATTATAATATAATGAAATGTTTCATTAATCTGTGCTCAATGATTGAAGTTTGAAATTAATGTTATGTTATGATTAGTGATTAGTTTTTTTATACATTATATGTATTTATATGATAAAATCCTTAAGAAATAAATTAATTTACCTTAAGGAAGATCAATTCATTCAGAGACAAACTGTATGAGATAACCACTTTTTGGCAAGCAACATGGTCCTGTTATAGCAATTTTGGGTTTAAGGCACTGCAAAGTCCCAAGTGTAGTTTGGTGAGTAGAATACTACATGAGTAGTTTCCTACATTCTATAAGATGAAATGAAGTGATAAGTGTAGCGTAGGTAAATTGATGATTTTATGTGTTATGACCAGGAAGATGTAATATTCTGTATCAATATAAAATATTAACCTGCTAGGTCTTTATTGTAAATATTCAGAAGATTTTAGGTTTTAATTCAGAAGATCTAGGTTCTTTGCATTTTCAGTGATCAATCACACTTCGTGTTACTTCAAGAAAGAGTCAGGTTTATAAAAGTAATAATTTATTTAGCAAACAATTAAAATATGACTAATTAACTAAGCATTTACTGTGAGTGGATGTAACTAAACGTAATGAAGGATGTGTGAATGTGATGTCAGTCAGAGCTTCCTTATCAAAGTAAGCTGAGTTCTGGTGAAAAGAATTTGGTTTGCTCTAAGCTATAAAGTTGTTCTTAGGGATGTCCTGATCAGGTTTTTTTTTTGCCCTTGAGTCCAAGTCCGAGTCATTTGATTTTGAGAATCTGCCAATACCGAGTCCTGATCCAATACTTTTGATACGTAAAGAAAAAAATAAGAAAAGGAAGAAACAGTTCCAGAATGTTCCTTATTTTTTATTTCATTACCTTTTTATGTTAATTTTTAACAACAGATCACTTCTGTGAGGTAGCTTGAACAATCAAGTAATAAATAACATAAATTCTTCACTTTTGGACTTTATTGCAAATATAAAAAGTCTAATATAAAAACAGATAGCACTTCAACTTAAAATACCTGGCAGGGGTCTATTTTGCCTTGGCCCCCAAAATGCTTAGATACGTCCCTGGGCATGGGACGGAGTTTTGAAGATGATCTGAATTGTATCGACTATATAAATACTACATGATAAATTATTGCTTTATACAGGTACAAACGTGTAGTGGGATAAATCTACTTACATTTTATTTTTTTGAGAACTTTGTTTTGTTTTCTTGGTTTTTATTTTCCTATCTTCCTGTCCTGTCTGTCTCTGATCTTCCTGCATCCCCCAGTCCTCCAGAAAAACTCCTGCCTGCTTCCTTCTTTTTCACCTCACAAGTAACCTTTTAACTAGCAGATCAAATTGATCTATTGACCTCAAAAAAATGAAGTGTGCGCTGCGCTGCCCGGCTGCGGTAGTGACGAGCGCTAGAGCGGGCGCAGCACGAGCGCGTCCACACGTCATGCTCAAATACAGACAGAACTTACCAGAGAGAAAATGAACGGACATGGATGACTGTGTGTTAATTGTATATTTTTTTGGTAACGCCACTAAGAAACTTAGAAAGTGTTACTGTGGCCATGTGCAGAACGCAGCGGTCTGTCTGCCGCTCTGCATCTCTGCCCAAAAGAATCCCTGCTACTCTGAGTCCATTTAAATATTATATAATATAGGTAGAAACTGGATCTCTTTTGTGCTCCTTCTGGGTGTGTAAAGCCCCATTCCCACCTGTACCGGGTCGGCCCGGGCCGGGTAGCGTAGGTTGTTTACATATCTGGGTGGCCTGGAATTTTCCCGGGCCAACCAAGGCTCATTCTCGGCCCTCTTCCCCAGGGGTACTGCTTCAGGCCGACCAGGGCCAACACGCCCACTGCTGACAGCAAATTCACACCTTCCATTAGAGCAAGCCTCTGATTGGTGGGTAGAATCAGCCCACATGGGCTTAAGACAAGGATGTGTGGAATCAACCGGGCCAGGCTGGGGCCGACTGGGGCTACCCGGCCCGGGCCGACCCGGTACAGATGGGAATGGCCCATAAATTAAGGGCATCAGGGGAGCCTGACAACAACCTTTAAGGAGAACCAAGTTGCTCTCCTGTAATTTGAACCCAGTATCCAACTCCGGATCGGGGCTTGGATCGGGAAGTAAAGCCCGAGTCCCGATCAGTCTGAAACCATGTGATCGGAGCCGATTTCCGATCATGTGAGCCGATCGGGACATCCCTAATTGATATCATCAGAAGAACATCAGACACAATCTGTCATGTCTACTTCACCCGTTTTTAAGAGACCCTCTTGGTGGATCCAAAAGTCGCAGGGGTCGGCTGACCTCTGGCATCGGAGGGCTGTACAACACCGTGGTACCGACTCTTCAGTCCAGAGATGTCTCGGGTCACAACAGCTGGATGGAACCGTGCGTGTGACTGACTCTTAAGGAGTCTAACAATATCAGCTTTGTTTCTGCAGGAACTGTTTGCTCATCAGCTGTGCAGATGCAAAAAGGTTTTGACGACGTGTCAAAATCTTTGATGGTTAAAGAGGTTTACTACAGGTGGCCGGCCTGAAGCGATTCTCTAGAAGTGTCGAATCACTCAGGATGATCCAGTTTTAAGGTTTTGATGTCATGACTTGCACAGCCAATCAGAGGCTGACAAGTTTGAGAGATGTTACCAAGACAACTCAGAAACACGCCTTCTTGATACAAGATGTTCTGACTGGTTTAAAAGTCTCTGTGTTGGAGTTTAACTTAACCGTACTTGTTATTGTGTGAGTGCAGATGTGAGGACCTCGTCGTCTAAACATGAACACATGGCAGTCTCTGTAGACATAACATAACAATTATTGAACACAGATTAATGAAGCATTTCATTACAATATAATGATTGTAAGTAGCAATAAACAAATGTTTATTTAATGATTATCTAGATTATAAGTCATGGAAGAAGTTCGTATTGATTTAGGAAATCATTCTTGAATTTAGCAACTGATTCGAGCTGGAGTTCTTCCTTCTGTGGAGGCAGTCAGATGGGACCTAAACCGACCATTGCTGGACATTACATAAGGCAGATTTAACAGAGTCAAAATGTGTGCTATAATATAAATGTACAATATTAATCAATTATTATTAAAAACATTTGTTTTCATGTGCCTAATTTTTACATTTTTATTCATTGCGTTTGTTACGTTAGGCCAAGTCTCACCAGAAAAAGTGATAAGGTAATATAACATTTAGGTTTAAAAATGTTGGTATTGGCAAAGCATTAGCAAATGAATATAACTTTTATGAAAATGCGGCTACTCTTGCTAGAGTTTAATCCTTGACTCCTCTGGCGCTGGTGCTCACATCTCCTTTTAGACATCCCAGATTACCTGTAATAAATGTTTTTGTGTCATCGATCTTACCAACAGCCAAGCACACAAAACAAAATAATGCACGAGTCTATCCCTGAAAGTGAGCCTCTATGCTACAAGTATAAAAAAATAACCTCATGGTCCATATAAAGAATAGTCCTCTATTGCCATTAAACCTGAAGATACACATGGAAGAGTGAAACTACCGTAAATAGAAAAGAAAATCCCTTTATTGTCTCTCAGTGGGGAAATAAAAAGAATAAACTACAAAACAAAAATTACTTAATTAATTGCTTATTTATTCTTCCAGCACAAGAAGAGTTTGCTTCATTATTGAAGCTTTCTAGTTAAGTTTAAAATTATGGAGATTTTTGTTGTGATTTTTAAGTTCTTGTTTCTGGAATAATACAACAACTCTATTTGTAAAAATGCACATGTTGTGACATGTAGGAAAAAGTGAGATTTTGCACAAATAAATCTTAAAATATTTAGAATTAGCATAAATAAAAAAGAGGTACCATGTAATAATTTTAATCAGAGAAAAAATGTTTTCAGAGGTGAATTTGATCAGGTTTGCTTGTGGTTTTCATTTGAAACATGAAACACCCAATTTACCACCAGGGGGAAATCTCTTCCAGCTCACCACTTGGAAGACAGAAGCACTATTTCCTGCTTATCTGATGTGGTAATTATTTTACTATTAATAATACTATCGAACAAATTGATTGATTGGAGTGAATCTTTTTTTTCCCTTGTTTTCATCTATAGATATCTCTTCTGACACAAAATGAGGTTTGACAGTTTGTCCTTAAAGCCTTTGGTATGGTGCAATCATGCACACACTCTCACACACCAGGGTACCTAATCACGGCCACACCCACCTAAAATCTCACCACTCCAGTGGTGTCTACCCACCTCCCATCCCTTTTGACACCCCATTCTGTCTTGCAGTCTGGGCAGGCTGCCAGCCCCCTCCCCTGCTCTGGATCTGTGTTCTCTGCACATACCAAGCCAAGCCACACAATGCTGCGCTCCCTACACCAAGAGGCACAGATATTTGCAGTGATGCTTCTGTTCCCAGACCTCCCTGTCAGCAGCGGAGCCTTCACGCAGCTCTGATGGCAGAGCAGGACAGGTGGACTGAGCTGGAGGAGGAAAACCACATCATCACCTGTTTGGGACATTTTGAGCAATAGAAGATTAACACAAAAAAAGGAGTCCACCCACCTCCACCCTCCTTTACTTTATCACATGCACACTCGCTCACATACATCCCCCTCGCCGTTCATTCCCTCTCTGTGTCTGATGCTGGTGTGCTGAACAGCAGAGCACTCTCGGCTGAGCTGCATGGAGGCACAGGGAGGGGCAGGGAGCCCAGGTAAGAGCCATTTTGTCCCCTTTTTTCCTCTTTAAACAAAGCTGTTGCAGAATATATTCTATTCTATAACACATGTGCTGCAAAACGTCTGTTTGCTCTTTTTCCTTATAATGCGACTTTCTGAATTGTTGGTGTTTTATCCTCAGTAACTCTTGTCCTGCGAAGAGTTAATCAGTGATATATGTTAGGTTTAAAAATAGCTCTATTGGCCAATTTATTTCAGGCTGCTGTAGGTCAGCCAGTGAAGGCAGGGCTGCCCAACTACTAACTGCAGAACAATAGTTTGATCAAAAGCCACCCAGAAAAGCCTGGGCTGTGTCGTGACACTGAACAATGCTTTAATAATTCAAAAACATAATTTAACACTTGTTTTTATGTCATCTTCAATTCCTGTGAATTTTCCTTCTTGGTGCATTGGGGTCAAACAGCCTGTAACGCTACAAAAAGTTGCAGCTTCATCAGATGCTACATTTTTTCTGCCACATTGTTTTTCCACGTCTTTGTTTCACTTTGGGATCTCAGCAGATTTTCTACGTGCTGATGGCCGGTTCAACCCACCTGTGACAAATTGGTCCAATAATTTGTCATGAAGACAAGGCTAAATTAGGTCAAACATCATGATTTATCTCAGAACCGAGTCACAGAGTCTGACATCTGGATGTCAGTGTTGGCGTAAATAAAAATAAAACAGCAGCAGTCAGAAACACGAGGATTAGTGTTTTCCACTGATTATTACACCTGCAATTGTGTTTTTGTGTTATTGTCACCACCCTGCAAATAGTGTTTCACTGGGAAATGTGTGAAGTAAACAATATTAACTGAATAATAATTTAGGTGATTAAAACGATGCTGAGTTGCACACAGATGCTGTTTGCATCACTGCCATTATCTGTGATGAGTGGAAGCTGAATGAGTCTGTAATTAATTAAAACAACCAGAGTATTTTTACCAAGTGATAAACAATCATAATTAAATATGAGCATGACAAGTGGCACTAACACAATTAAAGTATTTTAATGGGTCTCATTAATTAGAATTATTTGGGCCATAATAACTGTTGTAATAGTTTAATGTAGCAACAGTCCCAGGGTTTAAGCCCTTTATTAAAAGAATGACATCACAGCGAGGAACGCTGCACAGTGAAATAAATCAAGAAGCATTTACACGAATCAGGACAGACAGAAACACCACGAGCTGGAGAAATTGCGCTGAGGGCTATGACGATTTCTCCTGCCTCTGCCACGATGTTTAACAGCAATTGATTTGCTTGTCCGAGACAAAATTAAATTCAATCTTGGCAGTAATCACAGAGTAGATCGTTTTCATCCTCCCTCCCCCTTTTCTGTGCCTGGGCATTTCTCTCCATGTGTCCTGGGTTTGCTTTTTCAGAGACAGCAGACAACATTGGGATAAGGCTCATGTATTTTTAAAGTCATGATGCGTAACTCACTGGGGCTTCTTCAGACAGCTCAGCAGGAGGTGGCTTGATCAGGTCAGCTGGGTAAACTTGTCCTTCCATTCATAGGGATGACATTGTGGCTTTCTCTAAAGCTCTTTATGCAAGTGGCTGTATGAAGGTCAGACTCATCTGTACCACAGTTCATGTGTTACAGGAGAACTTGAACGTGTGTGCAATAAAAGTCATCACCTAGCAGAACTGGACAGGTTCATGATCAAAATATGGTCACCACTTCTTCTGTTCATGAACGAAGCTTTGGATGGAGAGATGAATAATGAATAAATACATAAACATATTAATGGATGGATGATGGATGGATGAATAAATGGATGGACGAACAAGTGGATGACGGATGGATGGATGGACAGACGGACGGACGGATGAATGAATGGAAAAGAAGATGGATGGATGGATGGATGGATGGACGGATGGACGGATGGATGGATGGATGAACAGACAGACAGGCAGATGGATGGATGGATAGACAGATGGATGGAGGAATGGACAGACAGATGGATGAATGGATGGATGGAGGAATGGACAGACAGATGGATGGATGGATGGATGGACAGATGGCTGGATGGATGGATGGATGGATGGATGGATAGACAGATGAATGGACGGATGGACGGATGGTTGGATGGACAGATGGATGGATGGGTGGATGGATGGATGGATGGATGGATGGAAAGATGGGTGGATGGACAGATGGACAGATGGTTGGATGGACAGACGGATGGATGGGTGGATGGATATTTGTTGAACACGTTAGTTGAAATGGAAACCAGCAGCTGTCCAAATATTGAACAAACACTTCATTAAACCTGCTGAGGTTACGCGTTTTTCAGCTGAGTGGAGAAATAGATCAATAGCATCTGTGACCCCTGGGCATGTTGAGAAGAAATCTTCCCTCTCTGCTTTTGTCTTGGCTGTGAAATGTTCATCATCTGCTATAGAAATCCAACAATCTTTGAACATAGTGCCAGTAGAAACAGTCCCAGCCATCTGGTGAGGCCCACCAGAAAGCTGCTCTCCTCCCAAACCTTGTTGCATCAGTCCTGCATATCATTTGTGATGAACAACTGAAGATATCATTTATGCAGAATGTTGCTTCACACACATTCCTCCTCGTTTTTAAACCAGTCTAATGTAGCTGTGATGTTGGCTCTGACCCTCTGGTTCAACACCTCCTCACAGCTGTTCTTCAGTTCATCCAGTCTCCTCACATATCACACTCGGCTCTCCGTCATGTCAAACAGTTGTTCACTTAACCTTGATCACCGTAACTTTGAGTTCTTACTCTCAAATGTGAAGGCACACTATTTTAAGCACCTTCTATTTTTAGATTTGTATCAACAGCCTGTGTGAAGTATTTTAGAATAGATGTTTGAAATGTTTGCCGCAAGCTTTAGTCCAAGAAACACAAAATACCACCAAAGCTTTAATAGTTGTTGCTGAACCCCCTGCATTTGAACAGCTCGTGAAGCTGTGAGAACTTGGTGTTTCATGACCCACTGAGCACTCCTGATCCATCGCTATTCTGACCAAAACATCAATGCCCTTCATCTTTATTGCTATGCTTATCCCAGCCTTAGTCATCTGATTGCTCTTCTATAATGGGTGCTTAATTTGGTAGCTACACTTATGTCACACACACATCCAAGGAGTTGCAGCCACAAAAAGGAGGATAAATTATCTTCCTCATATTCAGTGTTAAAATCAATCAGGAGTAAAATCTGAGAAATAAAACATCTCTTTTTCCAACTGTTAGAAATTTTCTGTTCTAAATAAAATAGACAGGTTTTTGGGATGGTGATACCGTTATTGTTGTCATGTTTGTGCGTTGCTGTTTTCTCTGACAATCCTCCAGCCCCAAAACAGAACAAAGACCAGAGGCATTATGTAGTAAATCTGCAGACTAATTTGTTTAATCTTTTGTGAACTTTAAACCGGAAAGGAAAATCCTTAGAAAGAACCTTAATCAAACATAATATGCAGGATTGGACTTCATCCCATTTAATAGAATAGTCTGCCAATTTGGAATGGATAACAATAGCTTTTTAGAATATCACCAAATGAAATCTGTATTCAAACAAAAATTTAAGCTCAATAAAAAAGAATTACAAACACCACCAAGGGGATTAGACTTCTATACTCTCAAACCCCCAAACTACTGTCTAAAGTATATAAGACACTGTCCAAAATAGACGATAGAATAGCAATCCGTATTGAAAAATGGGAGGTGGATCTATCAGTCAGCTTTGACCAGAACTTCTGGTCCCAAACTTGTTTAAAAACTTTTAAAATGATCAGACACTCCAATTTACAATTAATTCAGTACAAAATTCTACACAGAGTACACTATACAGGTCATCGTAGGTTCAAGATTGGGTTTGTGTCATCTGACACCTGTACACACTGCACAAACAACATTCCTGACAATTACATTCATGCACTGTGGTCCTGTCCATCTGTCCAAAAATTTTGGGGTAGAGTATGTGAAGACCTGTCAAAGTGTCTGAAATGTCATATCCCAACTTCCCCCTCTCTTTGTTTACTGGGAAACCTGGACGATGTCCCGATTGAAACATCTTTGGTTCACGTGGTTCTGACTGCCATATGCATCGCTAAGAAAACTATCCTCATAAATTGGAAAATAGAGATACTCTTTGCATTAACCAGTATAGAAATCTTTTGTTAGACCATATTACACTTGATACAGCCTCTGCTTCCACTTCAAATCAATCTCTCTGGGCTCCTTAGATCGGTTCCATCACATTGCGATGATGGGGGATCATTGATATTGTCCTGCGGGATGATGTGGGTGATGGGGTGGAGGGTCTGAGTTTGGAGTATCCAAACGTTCCCTGGAGGTGGGTTCACTGGGGGGTGTCTGGGACTGGGGGACTGCTGCCCCCCTTTGGAGGTGCCTGGGTTGCTGGTTGCCTCGAGGGGTGGACGACTGGCGGTTGTGAGTGGTGCCCCTTGGGGGTCTTGGCGGTGGCCATGGGTCGCTGCCTGGCAGCTGCATTGCCCCTGAGCGCGTCTGGGTGGGGGCCTGGGGGCTCGGGATGTGGGGGTGGCTGGCCCTGTGTGGGAATCTGGGCGGGGCCTTGGGGGTCGGGTCCTGACATGTATGCTGCCGGGAAGAAGGCAGGCACATGCGGCAGTGCCTGGCCCGGGTTCAGGGGCCTCGGGTAGACCTTGGCTCCTCTGCTGTTCCATCACAGGGGAGGAGGATGTCCAGGAGGGGGAGGACCCAACCTTACCTTGATGTCCTATGTCTTCTATATTCTGGAAGTTGTGCAAATGCAGGGATGGGAGTAGATATTCTGCTGGGGTGGGGCTGGGGTGGTGCCCTCGGACTCTGTGAGGCTCTGTGATGCTGCTAATTTGGGCCCTGGCAAGACGGGCTGGGGTCTCCATGCTCTCGGTGGCATTTTGACAACAGAGGTGCCTATTGGGGCCAGTGGGGGAGCTGGCTCCCTGGAGGGCTATGCCCAACCAGCCATTCCTCCCCATCCCCACACATCGTCACAAAATCATGCACATAGGACCTTGGGGGGTGGACAGGTCAGGGGGTGTGGGTATGGACCCCATTTCCACATTCCTGTGGCAACCTGCCCCCCAATTTAATTTGCACCTTAAAGACCTCCACCAACGACATTCCACGCAAACACACACTTAGGGCCTTGGGAGTGAGCACATTCAACAGTATTTGGCAAGGTGATTTTTCAGCCTCACCCTGATTGCCGGTGCCCACTTCCAATTTTAAACTGCACTTAGACACTGAGGGCTGTGGGTGCAAGTGGGGTTATGTGGTGGCATCAGCTGGCGAAGGCCAGACAATGCCCACACTGCCCGCGCACCACAGCCATGGAATACACCTCATCAACATGCACTAACACTAAATTGGAACAGGCAGAGGGAGACTAGGGGTCTTAGCACACCTCTGTTGTCACTTGGCTTCCTGGGGCTGGAGGCTAGGAGGGAGATCTGGCCAGCTGGTTGGGGTCTGGGGTGGTGGGTTGCTTTGCTCAGCGTTGGGCGAGGGAGCCTGCTCATCAGCACCCCAGCAGAAAGGGTCGAACTCTGGGAACCTGTAATGGTTGTACCCCATGTGCAGCAGTACTGGGACCAGAGTGAATAGGGTGTGTATGGGGAGCATGAGTGAGTGTCCGGTGTGCATTTTTGTAAGTCTTTGGTTGTGTGTATGTGTGAGCATGAGGGAGGGAGTGTGTGACTGTGTCTGTGTATGGCTGGATATGTCAGGTGGGGCTGTTGACTCCTCCCTTCTCCTGGGACTTCTTGCGCTACTATACATCTTCACCTACCCTCCCCCTGCCACATTTGTGTCATGTTGTGGGTAATGGATTTCACCCAGGACATGAAGAATCACAGGAGAGGAGAGGTAAGTAAAATATAAAGTGATTTATTTACAATGTGAAACAGAAGAGATAAAACTAGAACTAAAGATCAGGAACAGGGGAGTACCAGAATCTACGGAGATAAGAAAAACAGGAGGTGAGCGAGGCCAGAACCAGAGAACAAGGGATATGAGAGTCTGTAGCTGAGAGTTCTTACGGTCAGACACCAGGACTAGAGCGGAGGCGAACAGGGGGAGGTTGGTCCGGGTGTGATGGTTCAGAGCGTGGGCAGGCGGGCAGACGTGGAGATAGAAGATCAGAGGATCCTTGAGCGGCGAGGTGTGAGAACAACTCCAGGCAAGGTAGGTGGTGCAGGAACAGGATACTAAAACAGGATACAAATTCATTAATTCAGGATCACAAGGAAACAGGCTGATTCAGAGTCTAGAGGCTACCCATGTGAGAGTATCAACCGGCGCTGGAGTTGAGTCACACCGCTCCTTAAATCCTCTGCACCTCAATTAGTGGAACTCCAAACAGCTGTGCAGTCTGCCGCACCCACCTGTAACACAAAGCTGAACAACACTTCACCAGAAGGTGGAGGAAAACCATGACAGTGCCCCCCCCCCCCCCCCCCCCCTTCAAGGGACGCCACTCGGCGGCCCAGCAGAGGAGGAGGAGGCGGAGGAGGAGGAGGCAGGGGAGGCTTCGAAGTCGTCAATGAGGAAGACATCTTCGATCCAGGAACCAGGGACCCACTGCTGGTGCTCGGGACCGTAACCCTCCCAGTCCACCAGGAACTGCCGGCCGCGGCCCTGTGGCCGAACATCCAGGATGCGACGCACACGTTAACCGACACCCCCATCGGCGAGGCGGACAGGCGGAGGCGGAGCATCAGGAGGGCACAGAGGGCTGGATCCACCGGCTTGAGGAGGGAGACGAGGAAGACCGGATGTATCCGCATGGAAGGAGGCAACTCCAAGCGGACTGAGACCGGACCCAGAACTTCAGCCACAGGAAAAGGTCCAAGGAAGCGAGGAGAGAACTTCCGGCAGGATCCTCGAACCTTGATGTCCCGGGAGGAGAGCCAGACCAACTGACCCGGAGTGTAGGTGGGTGCAGGCCGTCTGTGGCAGTCAGCAATCTGGCGGTTGCACTCCGCAGTACGTTGGAGCGCTGCACGGGTCTAAGTCCAAGTGCGGCGGGCCAGGCGCAGAAACTGAGGGACTGAGGTGGAGGAAGCAGAGTCACCCATGGCAACGGCGCACTCCATCCAGCAGGGTTGGAGGAACAGATGCAACACAGCATAGCCTCCAGTTCCTGATTCATGCGCTCCACCTGCCCGTTAGTCTGAGGGTGAAAACCGGAGGTGAGACTAACCTTGGCTCCTAGGTGATTAGCGAAGTCAGACCACACTCGAGAGATGAACTGGGGCCCACGATCTGAGAGGATCTCGCTGGGTAATCCATGCAGACGGAAGAGATGCTTAACGAGTAGGTTGGCTGTCTCGGTGGAAGATGGAAGTGATTTCAGAGGAACCAGATGTCATGCCTTTGGGAAATGGTCGACAATGGTGAGAATGACAGTGAATCCTTTAGACAAGGGGAGACCAGTTACGAAGTCCAGAGCTATATGGGACCATGGATGGTGGGGAACAGGCAGAGGCTGGAGGAGACCCTGAGGAGGTTGGTTACTGGATTTGTGTCTGGCACATACCTGACAAGCACTGATATATTCCTTAACATCACGGTACATGGAGGGCCACCAAAATGTCCTTCGGATGAGAGAAATGGTTCTGCCCAGGCCTGGATGAATAGAAAACTTGACAGTGTGGGCCCAGTGTATGAGGGCACCACGGGTGCTGGTAGGAACAAAAACCTTATTCGGGGGACCGGTACCTGGATCGGGATCCTGCTGCTGGGCCTCCAGGACCTTGTTGGTTATGTCCCAAGCAATAGAGCTGACTATGCAGGAGGCAGGCAGGATGGTGGAAGGCTCTACTTCTCTGTCGGAGGCATATTGTCGAGAAAGGGCGTCTGGTCTGACGTTATTTGAACCGGGTCTGTAAGAAATGGTAAAGTTGAATCTAGAGAAGAATAATTACCAACGAGATTGGTGGGGATTAAGTCTCTTAGCCTCTTTTAAGTAGGATAGGTTTTTATGATCAGTCCAGATGGTTATTGGATGCTCTGCTCCTTCCAACCAGTGACTCCATTCCTCCAAAGCCAGCTTCACTGCCAACAGTTCCAGATCTCCTACGTCATAGTTCTGCTCGGCTGGGGAAAGACGACGAGAGTAGAAAGCGCAGGGATGGAGACACTGATCGGAGGAGGAGACTTGGGACAAAACTGCTCCAACCCCGGTGTCAGAGGCGTCAACTTCCAAGGTAAATGGAACAGACGGATCCGGGCGAGTGAGAATGGGTGCATGAGCAAATCTCTCTTTAAGAGTGAGAAACGCTTGGTCAGCCTCCTTGGTCCATAGAAACGGTTTCTTGATGGAGGTGAGCCGGGTTAATGGGACTGCAATCCGGCTGTAGTCTCTAATAAATCTGCGATAGAAATTTCCAAATCCTAAGAACCTCTGGAGCTGTTTACGTGTGGTTGGAGTGGGCCAGGACAGAACGGCAGCAATCTTGTCAGGATCAGTTCTCAGTTTTCCATTCTCCAACACAAAGCCCAGAAATCTCACAGAGGGAATGTGAAACTCACATTTTTCTGCCTTAACGTAAAGCCGGTTCTCAAGGAGACGCTGGAGCACAGCACGGACATGTTGACGATGATCGGTTAGGTTTTTGGAAAATATGAGGATGTCATCCAGGTAGACTGTTACAAACTTGTTGATGTAATCACCCAGCACGGAGTTGATCAGGGATTGAAACACAACGGGAGCTTTGGTGAGTCCGAACGGCATTACAAGATATTCGAAGTGCCCCAAAGGTGTCTTGAATGCCATCTTCCTTTCGTCTCCTTCACGAATTCTGACCAGATGATAGGCGTTGCACATATCTAATTTTGTAAAAATGGAAGCGTCATTAACGGGTTCGAATGTGGAAGATAGCAGAGGCAGAGGATACTTATTCTTAATGGTGATCAGGTTTAAACCACGGTAGTCAATGTAGGGGCAGAGCGAACCATCTTTCTTTGAAACGAAGAAAAATCCAACACCCAGGGGAGAAGTAGATGGTTGTATGATGCCAGACGTTAGGGATTCTGAAATGTAATCAGACATGCAGGCTTGTTCGGGTTTAGACAGACTGTATAGCTTACTGGTAGGTAAGTTGGCATCCGGGACGAGGTCAATTCCACAATCATACGGGCGATGAGGAGGCAGAGAAGAAGCTCGATCTTTACTGAACACTTGTTGCAGGTTGTGATATTCAGCAGGGACTCCAGTAAGATCAGGTGGTTCCTGGGGAGAGTTACTGGTAATCTGGAATGGAAAAGGAGCTGAAAGGAGACACTGAGACAGGCAGTAGGGGCTCCAGACAGAAACCAACCCGGTTTTCCAGTCTATTTGTGGGTTGTGTAACACTAACCACTCATGACCCAAAACAACTGGCGACTGGGGAGAAGGAAAAATATAGCAACTCAAGGTCTCATGATGGTTACCAGAGATATGCATATTAATTGGAACTGTGCGATGTGTTATGGTTGTCAAAGAGCAGCCATCCAACGAGGAAGCGCGTATGGGGGTAGACAGAGGAATGGTGGGAATGTTGAGCTGTTGAACAACAGTTTGGTCCAGAACACTCCTCTCACACCCAGAGTCCACTAGCGCCTGAGTTGAAACTGTCTGTTGGTTGTAGGAGACAGAACAGGTTAAGCTGCACCGGGAATTCAGGTTTCCAGGAACTCCACCCATCAGTAATCCCGGTCCTACTGATGGGCCCTGGCTTTTGGTCGAACCGGACAATCCTGCAGCATGTGACTCGGCTGACCACAGTAAAGGCAGAGGCCTAAGGAACGACGTCTAGCCTTCTCCTCAGGGGTTAAACGTGCTCGACCTATCTGCATAGGTTCCTCGAGATGAACCAGAGAGGGATGAGGTTGACGTTGTGGAGCAGAATCAGGAAATGGTCTGAGAGTATGTGTCCTGTGTCTTTCCTTTAGGCGCTTTTCAATATTGGCGGCTAACTGGACCAGAGACTCAAGGTTCTCTGGTTCTTGGCAAAACGCCAGTTGATCCTTAATCCTATCGTTAAGGGCATGAGAAAAAGCGGCTCTAAGGGAAGGTTCATCTAGTGTGGAAAGGGAGGCAAGGGTACGGAAATCGATGGCAAATTCTACCACTGACTGTTGACCCTGCTGGAGACTCCAGATTTGTTTGGTGATTTCGGCTGGGGATTCAGACTGATCAAAAATTTGTTTAAATTCAGCTAGGAATGCTGCAAACGGTCCCTCAAGAAAAGTTGGTTGCCGGCTCCTAGCTTCGGCCCACTGTAGGGCTCGACCACGTAACAGACTGACGATATAGGAAATCTTAATTGCATCATTTACAAACGTATCAGGTGATCTATTGAAAGCCAATTCACAAAGTAACAAAAAACAGCGGCATTTTCCAGGTTCACCGGCGAATGTTTCTGGTTGAGGTGATTGTGTAACCCGGAAACCGATCCCGTGATGCTGAACAGGAAGTGGAGCTGGCGATGAAGCTACAGAGACAACGGCAGGAGACGGTGTAAGTTTCTCGTTTACCTGGCGGATGGCGGAATCGAGCTGGGATAAAAGCTGGTTAACGAGTGACAATTGATCGAGGGCGGAACGAATGGATCCTTCATGCTGTGATAATGTGTTTGCTAGGACTGCGGGGAGTGATTCTTCAATGGGGGTGTTCTTTTGGCCGGTTGATTCTGTCATGTTGTGGGTAATGGATTTCACCCAGGACATGAAGAATCACAGGAGAGGAGAGGTAAGTAAAAATATAAAGTGATTTATTTACAATGTGAAACAGAAGAGATAAAACTAGAACTAAAGACGCTGCTTCTATGATCAGGAACAGGGGAGTACCGGAATCTAATTAGATAAGAAAAACAGGAGGTGAGCGAGGCCAGAACCAGAGAACCAGGGCTATGAGAGTCTGTAACTGAGAGTTCTTATGGTCCAACACCAGGAATAGAGCGGAGGCGAACAGGGAGAGGTTGGTCCGGGTGTGATGGTTCAGAGCGTGGGCAGGCGGGCAGACGTGGAGATAGAAGATCAGAGGATCCTTGAGCGGCGAGACGTGAGAACAACTCCAGGCAAGGTAGGTGGTGCAGGAACAGGATACTAAAACAGGAAACAAATTCATTAATTCAGGATCACAAGGAAACAGGCTGATTCAGAGGCTAGAGGCTACCCATGTGAGAGTATCAACCGGCGCTGGAGTTGAGTCACACTGCTCCTTAAATTCTCTGCACCTCAATTAGTGGAACTTGAAACAGCTGTGCAGTCTGCCGCGCCCACCTGTAACACAAAGCTGAACAACACTTCACCAGAAGGTGGAGGCAAACTGTGACAATATGGTGTGGAGTGTGGTGCCTTGGTCTGCCTGAGTGTTCGTGGCTCCCGGGTCAGGGGGTTTAAGATTTTGAGCATCTGCCTGATCAATCCCGGTGGCTGCCTGGTGGGATCTGGGTCCCTGGGCACTGCTGGGTCCCCGGCGGGGGTGGTGGCCCCTGGGTCCCAGGTTGCTGGGTCCCGGGCTCGGCCGGCTGGGGGGTGGGGTTGGGGCTGCGGGCGGGCCTGTGAGGTTGCCGCTGATATCTCCCGGGACTCTGCCGGCTGCTGGTTGTGGCCCCCCCGAGGCGATCCTCTGCACCTCTCGAGGGGGGCAGGGGCTTTTCTGGTCGCGGTCTCCTTGGGGTCCCTGTGCTCTTGGGCAGCTCCTGGATCTCTGGGACTTGGAGCTCCCTCTATCTCCTATGCATCTTTGGGGGGCAGATCTGTGGCCCCTCACACTCTCTGTTGGACGCTCCTATAGAGATACCTTACATAAACAAGCGCGTGTACACACACAGGTGCTCACACGGTGCTCTCATAAGTATGGACTTGAACACGTTCAACACATCTTAAGGCTGTGGTTGGCACTAAATGCACTGTGATTTATTATCGTGTGATTGTTCAGTAAAACAATGCTGATTTTACATTTCTTCATCAAGTTGATGCAGTGATAGCTTGCTCCTGCTGTTTTGTTGTGTTTCTCTTTTCTGCAGGTCTGGAAGAAGACTCTTGTTCATCATTGATTGTTTATTTTCATGGAAGCCCCCCCCCCCCCCCCCATTACATTAAACGGACATTAAACAGACGTTAAAAGCAGATACTTTGATGCTCCACTTGAGAGTAAAATCTGTGAGGCTTGTCACCAGCATTCAGACATTAATTATGTTTGCTTCACAGCAAAGAAAGGACACGGGAAAAAAAAAATTAAAATAAAAAAAAAAACAGAATGAACCTTAATCTGCACAACTCCATTCAATTAACTGTTTTTTTAAAAGTCCCTGGGACCAAAAATGTGACAAATTTCTAGTAAGAATCAAACTTCTGCAGCTTTTGATGTATTTTTCCTAACAAATAAAGTTCCTTTATTTCTTTGATCTATTTCCAGTTTGTTCAATTTGAGCTGAGGATGTGGATCATTCATTAAATACATTTCTAATGCCTGACAAGAAGATTATGGCACATTCCATGAACTCTGAATAAAAAATTACAAATTTCTCTAATTCCCTCAAGAGCCTTATTTCCCATCATTAACTGAAAACACGTGATGCTTTTGTTGATGCTTAATTGGAGCAAGAGCTTGCAATGCAGTTTAATATCTAATGTAATCTTTTATGGTGTCTCTAATCCTAAAATCAATCATTAAGATTTTTATAGATTCTAATTACTCTCCATGTCTGGGTTTGTTGTGATGGCAGAGCCCAACAAAGACATCCAGAAGCTGCTGAGGCCATCCAGCTCAGGTGATCTGTCCAAGGAGCTGTTCCAGCATCCATCAGGAGAAGCAGAGGGCAGTCTGTCTGGCCACACTGCTAGTCTTCTGCACATCAGTGAGAAGAGACGTAAGTGCCTGAGGCATATTTGTTACTTGGAGAAATAAAAAAACATCCAAATGTCTTTTTTAGAGGGAAAATTCTTGAACAAGTGACTGATTTATTGCAAGAATCATGAAGAAAGAACCAAGGTCATCCTGTTTGGTTAAAAGTCGCAGAAACAAAGGTTGAAACTTTATTTTTTGATCAGAACTTAAGTTTATCTTTGGGTTTTTATTCCCACCAAACAAAGTCTGATTGATTTAAGTGTTCTGTCTGCTGCAGCACACTTTCATCTGAAAGGACTGATTGTGCATCCGTTCCTTACAGAGGCTTGTTTTGTACCAGGCCTTCAGGCCACCGAGGCACACAGAAACTACAAGGCTGACAAGACCACCTTTATCTGCTTCACTAGCTAAACATTTTACTTCTAATGAGACAGCTCACCCGTTAACCAGCCCTGCTACCGGGCAGTTCAGCTGATGGATGGGGTTTGACAAGAGGTAAAAGAGAGAGACAGGAAGAATGAGCCGAAACCAGAAAACAAAAAAACTTTATTTCAAATGTTAATTAAATAGCCATAAAATTTGAGAGACAATGTGTCATTTTTACGTTAATCTCTGGAAATATCTGCCAAAGTGTTGTTGAAAATGAGTTAAACGATGCTCAGCTGTTGAAAAATATTGGTGGCTTCATAACATATAACCATAAAAATTGGGTCTAAAATACATCGGAGCTGGTTTAAGTCTCTAGGTAATGCCATGTTTCATTCTACAGGAGCCCGTGAGGACAAAACACGTTTACTTATTTGTAACAAGCGTTTACAAAACTCTCGCCATTCATAAACATTGTTTTACCACTTCACTCGTTGCCAGTGAGGAAAGGAGTCTGATGTGCTCCATTGGACTTTTGACCCTAATGGCCATCCGTTGGTAAACTCTTACTTGAACACAAAAATACAGCTTGCTTGCAATGATTTAGGTATCTACTGCCCCCTATTGCCAGAGAAAATACACCCTTTACACTTTTAAGATTTTGATTTAATTTTACTTCAGGATCTTTTGCACGGAAAAAGAAAATCACCAATTGCTTCATGTTCTGAATATGCTGCTTGACTTAAAAGGTCCTCGTAGATGGTGTCTTCAATTCACTTTTTCTCCATGGGGGACGCATTGTTCCAGTTGCTTGACTGGAAACATACTGATCAATAATTCAAAAAGTGGGGGTGGAAAATTCAAAAAAGAGGGGAATGTGGTTAAAAGGAATCTCTGCAGATCAGGAATCATATTAGTAATAATAGTTGAAAACATGCCGCTTATTTATATTTTAGGCCTCATTTGGCATTATATGACCTGGCTTTCAAGCAATTCATTTTCACGTTGTGTTTCCTCTTTATTTTGTTTTTTATTAAGCTAAAACCTCAGCTCCCCCTTCTTATCATCTTTGCCTCTCCTGCCTTTTTTCATCTCCTCCCCCAGATTTTCCTTCATGTTTCATTCCCTCTAGTTTGCTCTCACCTCCAAAAGAACTGGCTCAGACTGACTGTTTACTGTTAAAAAGCACCTCTCTGTGAAAGACCCGTTCTTGACAAGATACCAGAAGTCATCTGAAATGAAGCTTTAATAAAATGTCCTACTGAACATGATTTTACTACATTCGTTTGTTGCTGCTTTCTGGTTTTTTTCACAAATGTCCCATGCTGAATGTTCTTATTATATCCGACACGCAGCACATTGAGTCTCCATCGTCTCGGCATGATGAATAGTCTCCTATAAATCAATACTGGGACTTTAGTGGAGGGCGCAGAGAGTAAAGAGCAGCAGACAAAAGAGCAGTGGTAGACTCTTCAGAATAATACAGAAGGAACTGTTTTAACAGTTTTCAACAGGTTTTCTCACAAATTCTGCTTTTAATGACACCTCCAGATGCTTCTATCACTGAAACGGTGGATTGGTCCAGCTCTATTATGCAGAATGAGTTTACCCTTTGATGCTGCAGATGAATTCAAACGCATGCATGAGTTCTTGATTGAATTTACCTTAAACTCAATGCATGAAAATTTAATTTGTCAGGCACCTTGAGTGCTGAGTCATGCACATTCATACGTGACCCAAGTTTGCATGATGAAGCGTGACCTTGTGTGTAAACGAACAGGTGCAATATACACAGGAGAAAAATTTGATCACAGCGTGTAAAAAAAAGTGACTTTTTCATCTCCACAACACCATCGTCTCTATTCTCCGGTTTCTGAGTGTGCAATATTGCACCATGTCTGGGTGAGACAGGCGTCAGACTGAAGCAGACTCAGCTGCAAGTGCACAGATGGATGGATTGAGAGGTCTACAGAATAAATGTGAAATGTTTAGGGCAATGCACAAAAATGTAACAGAGGAGTGTGATTAGATTGATTCCACTATAAAGCTGCAACGGCATATTTATACAGTGACTGAAGAGCAAATTTCATTAGCTGTTAATTATCTAAGCAGCTTGTTTTTATAGAGATGGTTCACTTCAGCGCTATCAGCATTAATTAGTCCACCTCTAATCTCTCAGGTTTTTATCCACGTTTAAAGCTCGCTCTTTTCTTTGTGTGTCTGACAGAGCCACTGAGTAGTGTGTCGTCTTTAGAGGTGCACTTTGACCTCTTAGACCTGACTGAGCTGACTGACATGTCTGACCAGGAGCTGGCTGAAGTCTTTCCAGACTCTGATGAGGAAAATCACAATCAGTCCCCAGCAGGTAAGACCCAGAGTCTGTAGAAAGAGACTGGAAAGCCCTGATCAGATGAAATATCTTTACTGCAATAAGCAACAAAAATTATATTTGAACATAAAAATTGCATATAGATATAGAGAATGGCCTCTCATATTTCATCAGCTGTGCACAGTTTTTAATTTGTGCAACAACAAATAGTTGAAAAAGCATTTGTTATTGGTGGGATCATTGCTACTGTTGTTTTCCCTGCAGCTTCCACACTTTTTATGACTGCTGAAGGGAGCATTTTCCAAATTAATGTGGGGAAAACAGACAGAAACAGCATATTTGTGCAAATCTTAATGAGATAATGTTTGGAAAAGAGAGAGAGAGAGAGAGAGAGAGAGAGAGAGAGAGAGAGAGAGAGAGTGAGAATGTGTGTGTGTGTGTTCGTGAGTGTGCTTGCGTGCGTGCGTGCGTGCGTGCGTGTGTGTGTGTGTGTGTGTGTGTGTGTGTGTGTGTGTGTGTGTGTGTGTGTGTGTGTGTGTGCGTGTGTGTTTTTATATCATTATGTCTCAGCAGGGTTCCAGAGAGTAAAAACCAGCTGAGCTGTAATGATCAGAAAGGTCACATGACTCACAGACAAGCTGACAGACATGTTTTAATGTGGTACATTTATGAACATTTGGCCAAACAAATTATGTTTCAGATTTTCACTGAGTTGGTTTGAGATAATAAAGTTTGGTGCCAACTCAAGACTCAAAGTCCAGCTGACATCTGGCCTTCAGCCTTTAACCAAATAAACCACTAGAGCATATTTCATCATACAGAAATATGAACTAAACGTATAAGTAAACAATAGAAAGTATGTAACAGTTCTGAGGACTGAGCTGAGCGGGTTATGACTGGAGTTTAGTTGTGGCGTGGTGTGTGACCCAAACGTGGAGTGACTGAGTTGGTCAAACACGCAATGTAGGAACCAAGGCACACGACTCAAAGAGGAGCGAGTGCATACCGCGGCTCCAAAGTAAAGAAAAAGTACTTACAGGTAGTTTGCGGCTTGGCTGGGTAGACTGGCCGGTCTCGACAGGAGACTGGCTAGTCAGATATACTCCGAGCAAAATTCGGGGAAAACCTGGAACGATGACTGAGAGTCAGGTACTTCCGTATATAGGCTGGATTAGGTGACGGGAGCAGGAAGTGCGGTGTGATGCATGCTGGGCAGTGGAGTTCTGGAGAAGATCAGGTGTGAAATGGTGCTGGTGGAGTTGGGGTCGGGACAGTATGAGGCTGTGTGAACAAAATGTTTAACATACATCACAATATTATTATATAGTAAAAATTTACATAATTACTACCTTGCGTTAGTCAAAATTATGCAAAAAGTTAAATCCTTCATTGCTTTCTTCCAGGTGTGGACGTTAAAGGGCTACATGGTTTTCTGTGCATGGGCAGAGAAACTGCTGGTGTTTGCTATGCTCTTGTCCTTGATGGTAGCTTTTACCTACGATTCACATGTACCTACACACGCATCCTTCTGGTTTCCTGTGATGTTCAGAAAACAGCTTACTGCTCAATCGGTTTTGGCGAGATAATAAAAATAACATTTTTTGCCAAGTAGGTGAAAATTAAGACATAATATAGTTGTGATCAACAGGAAACATAACAATGTTATTGAAATTTTAACCCCAGACTGTTTGCCTCATAAAGTTTGATGTGTTTTATTCAGGATGAACACAAAGTTGAACTAAACACAAAATTCTCAAGACTCAGTTTTAAAATCTAAAGTACTTCTCTCATACCCATCTCCCTTGTAGCAGAATTCTTCTCTTCCATTTTCTGTTTTTGGTTTATTGATGGTGGTTCATAAATGCAGCACAGCTTGTTAAATCTGAGTTATGGCTCTTGAATGCTTTATGCTGCTGCCTGCAGCTCCACCGCAACATTTTAATGACAGATAATGAAGCACCAAGTGCTTTTTGACTCTAAAAAGGTCAAATAAGACACTGTTTATGTTGGCAAAAAGTCACTACATTAAATTACTGAAGCTAATGATGTCAATAGATTCACTTGAAAGTGCAGGTTTTAACACATCTTCCTTATTTATATCTCATTTACACCCAAACGTTACATTGCAGCAGAGGTGTGTTCCACTGTGAATGTAAGCAGCTTCACTTAAAATGGAAAAACCTCCGTTGCAGGTTAGAAGAGGAGGAAAATAAGATTAAATTCAGAAAACATAAACATGTTCAATCTGTAGTGGATCTCCACTTTTCATTTCATTACTATTCATTTCAATTTTAGGAGTAAATGATGTGTTTTTGTAGCTTTACAATAGCATATATTGAATTTTGGTATCATTGATGTGTGTTAAACTGTCAGATAGTAATTAGTTAAACAGTCAACATCTCTATATGAATTTGTCATTTTGCAGCTTTTAAAGGAACACTGAGGAGTTTTCTGAACCTCCACCCTACTGGTTGAAAGTAGAATTACAACTGTTGTAAACAACCCTGCAGTAGCTAACACTAACAACAAGCTAACACTAACATGACAGGGCTGCCATCTCTTACACATTGAGCGTGAGAAAGACGCATTTGACCGTCTTCACACACTCTCACACCACACCTCCAAAAGCTCATGCTGTAGAATCACCTCCAACACTAACAGGGCTGCAAACTTTTGATACTTTCCAATGTGTGAGAGCAGAGGGGTGGGGTACGCGTGGATCGTTACTCCCCATTCGCCAACCGTGAGAGTGGGGGTGGTGGTGGTATTGATTGTTCAGCGTGAGATACTGGAGGTGTAGCGTGAGAGTGTGTGAACAGGGTCAGATGCGCATGTCTCATGCTTAATGTGCGAGAGTTTGCAGCCCTGCTGTAAGCTTACGGAGGCAAGACGGTCTGTGCCCCCCACCCCCGCTCTCATGGTAAGTTTACGGAGGTGAAACACTCTCCACCTAGCCTAGTGAACTACCAAATTCTTGCTTTGCAAAGTTTGGTCTAGGAACGCTCCACTGGAACCTCTGCAGCCCCTAACAGCATTCTGGCTAGCCAATCACAACTCTCTAGAGGGGTTTCAAACACATAAAGAGCTGTGATTGGTCCATAATGGTGGGCCAATCATAGTGCTCTATCTGCTTAGTGAACAAATCACAGAGCTTTATCCGCTTTGTGGGCCAATCAGGGCACTCTATATGCCTGGTGGGTGGGATGATGCAACAGAGTGAAACAAGAATATGTCACATTCTTTGTCCAGTGGAATGCGGAGATCATTTGAAAGACAACGGTAGAACCCGCCCCACAACCGAGAGCCGTCAATGGAGCGTTGCCAGACTAAGTAATACATTTATTTAGTCTGGCTTGCCAGGCTACTCTCCACCCTCATGCATTAAAAAGCTCAACCATTGCCAGCCCTGCATGAGCCACCTAAGACTAAAATAAACCACGAAGTAAAAAAATTGACACTGCTGGAAAAAAATATTATTACAAATCCTACAAGAAAATGTCTTCTTTTTCTTCCTGTGGTTTTTATTGAGTATGTGTGATCTGAAAATGCTAACTGCTAGCTCTCTCAAACTAGTGCAGGCCACGCCAATGTTCGATCTAGCTTTAGCGATTCACTTCTACTACTCTCTTACTTTTACTTCTGCCCTCCGCCATAATGCCAACAGAAAAAGAAAACTTCTTGATTATCTTCGTCTTTTACTTTTTAAAAATATTGGCAAACTGAAAATGCTAACCTCTAGCATTAGAGCTAACAGCCATAAAGCAGGTAAAGAGCAGAGGTGTGGACTCGAGTCACATGACTTGGCCTCTAGTCAGACTTGAGTCATTATTTTAATGACTTGTGACTTGACTTGAGAAAATCTATAAAGATTTACAACTTGACTCGGACTTGAACGCCAACGACTTGCGACTTGAATTGACTTGCTTCTGTTGACTTGATGATAACTTGAGCATATTTGATATTTTAGCACAAAAGTGGCACGACATGGACAAAAATCATAAATCATTCTTTGTTCTGGGTTTGATCTTGTTCTGCTAACTGCAGCAGCACTTTGTTTATAATCAATTTCTGCTTGTTTGAGCAAATAAATTAAGTTTTCAGAAGCTTTATTTCTGGAAGTTATTTATTGTCATTGTCATTAAATTGAAGTTGGACAGATGACTTGATTATGACTTGAAAATTCAAAGTTAAGGACTTGGACTTGACTTGGACTTCCAGATCATTGACTTTGGACTCGACTTGGACTTAGTTGTCTTTGACTTGGACTTGACTCGAGACTTGACTGGAAAGACTTTTGACTTACTTGTGACTTGCAAACTTGATCACACCTCTGGTAAAAAGTGCCCTTACAGGACACCAACCAGCTCCACAAAAGTATGTTTTGTCCCTCCATGATTTTTGGTCAGCAGAAGACTGCAGAGTGTTGTCACATATAAAACTGGTCAAGATCCTAACCCAACGATCACTGAGATAAACGTTAAAGCTCCAGCTTAAAGTTTAATAAATGATCTATTGTTACTGTAACGGAATAGAGTGATGAAACTATCTAGAGTTGTATTTTAATATACTGTAAGTAGATCACTTTTTATAAACAGAAGAATAGGCTGTTTTTATCATCAGGGAGTTTAATTAAACACTCTGTATTGACTTTGAGACAAGGAAAGAGAGAGAGATGGGATCGTTTGAGAATCTTTAATTTCTTGATTATAAATTCTAAACAATCTACCAGGACCAACTCTGTGATGGATGAAAATGGATTTGGATGTTGTGTTGGTGCGTGTGTGTGCGTGTGGTTCGTTCAGACTCCTTAGGCTGACGTAATTGAATCTGGTAGTCTTTGTTATGACTAGATATCACGAGGCTTATAAAGTGATGACATGAGCCGCTATTTTGCCGTGTACGTACCCAGTGGGGGCCTCCCTGGTAGATCAGGAAATGCCAGGTCCAAGAACCTCGGAGGTACGCTGGAGCTGTCGGTGCAGCGGTCGCAACGTTTCAAAGCCTGTCTGGAGGGTCGACCCCGGTACCAAACGACGGCATCAGCAGGTGCTCTTATTTTGAAAGGATATCGTCTGGTTGTTAAACGACGAAAATCTCCAGCTTCACAGTTCTTAGTTTAAAGAAGAAAACACATCTGGCCAGTCTGCGCTTTTCTTTAGGATGACGGTGAATAGAACTGAAGTCAAAATGGAACTGACTTTAAAATGGCGTTGCCTTGTTTTATATCTCTGAATTGTTGAAAGTTTTAGTAAAGCGGATTGGATACTTTAAGTCAACAAGCCAGATTCTCCTGCGGCAGCCGAAAGCTCTGATTGGTTGGAACAATGTGTCATGCGTTTCTATGGAGATGAGGATCAGTCTGTCTGTGCAATAGTCCTGTTTTCATTAAACATAAACCATGACATATTTATTTCACAGATCATTCACTTCATTATTATTGATCAATATCTGTTTCGAGTAGCTTTAATCACAAATTAAGTACTTTGATTATTGAAAAGCGTTCTTCTTCTCCTTCGGACTCTTCTCCTGGAATGTAAACAGTCTGAGGAACACCCGACCTTGGCGTTTTCATACACGGGTGTAACTGTGCACAGGGGACAGCTGTGTGGAGCTGAAAATAATGAACTTCATAACCTTACATTACTTTAGTAGTAAGTAAGTATTTTTATATAGCACTCATCACAGAAAGAGAATCACAAAGTGCTTCACAGAGATCAACAAAACAAAACAAGTCATAAAATAATAAAATCACAAACACCTAAAAAGCTAAACAGCAAATATAAAATGAATTAAAATCAGAAAAAGCAAAGTCATGAAATGAAATATTTAAATTAATGGAGATAGCCCGTATATAATTAAAGCCTTACAAAACTGGGCAGCTTGTGATTCAGTTGTATTCCGACCTTGAACAAAAATAGTCAAGCTGTACCATCTGACAGCACACATTTCTCTTTTTGTTGAAGGAATTTAACCTTTTGGCGTGACATTTGTCCTTTTTTTGTGACACCTTTCTTCTTCTTCTTCCTGTTTTAATGTCACCAGCTCCACAGACATAATTTAGCTTTTTTTTTCTTTTAAGAGAGAAAAATGTGAAGCTCAGCTGTTTTTGTGTCAGGTCACAACTTGTGTAAAGGGTAGACAAAAAACAACCGCTGCATCGTAAAGTCATGGCTGAATGAAAAAAGTAAAGGTTAAAGAAGTACCCAATGCTGCAAACAAGCATTTAAAATTTCTACATGTTCTCTTAAAGCACAAATATTTTCTGCCATCTATTTGTTTTTTGCAGGGAAAAAAAATTCACAATATGTAGCCTAAAGCCGAACAAAATTAAAGGCTGTACAGTGAAATGAAGACTAAAGGTTTAGCGGGAGGTTTCAGCTGAATTATTTTGAAAATGTGGGTCAAGCTGCACGGAGCTTTGCTGTGGGCTCTGAGGGATGCTGGGAGATACATATCAGGGTTGAGACGACGGTTAAAGGGATGCGTGGAGCTGAAGATGGGTCGCTGAGTTCAAGCTAAATGCAGACTCTTAAATAATTGATTTTTCCCCTCTGGAAACAAAGCCTGTTCCTTCAAAAGCCTTTCAAACACAATCATAATGCAAGAATATAATCCCTTAGGCAGATTTTTACACCATTTTTACTGCATATCTCTCTTTGTTATCAACAATCTAGACTTTTTTTCCCCATTAAATGTGATCTGACTGGGTTTGGATTTTAGCAGCAGGAAGTGAGAGAACACATTGAATTTTAACAAGCATTTCTTTTCAGAGCAGCTCAACAAAAGAATGCTGCTTCACTCTTTGTTTTATCCCTAAATGAGTTTGATGAGCCATAAAGTTTCTGCAGAGTCCTGAAAAAACCATCACAGGCACATGATTGTCTCCATGGTAACACACCCAGAACTGAGGACACAGCAAACTGTAGGCAACTGTTTTGTCTGCTCTGTTTTTTATTGTATCTTTATTATTATAATAGAAGCAGCTTTTTAGCAAACCATTGCTTCATTAAGAAATAAAAACTTTGGAATGAAAAGATGCAAAAACCAGTTTATCCATACGCACAGACAAATAAAGCATAATTTCTACACATTACATTTGATCATTTGGACCCATTGAGACATTTTCCCTTGAGAACGTCTCATCATGAAAAAAAAAGTTTTGTAAGTAGGTTAGGCAATTATATAAGCTATTGCTTCTGCCTAAACCTATTCAGTCATGATATACCAAATAGACACCATATAAAAAAACAAAGCATATGTTAGTGAGAAATGGTATTTGTATCTAATTGTATGGCATGTTAATGTACATTATCTTAAGATAACTGACTGAATAAATTGATCATTCATTCATTCATTCATTCATGACTGGCAGTGTGTGTTTGATGTTCACACAAAAAGATGGTGAGATCTCACAATGACACCCTTATCAGTGATGTGAAAATGTGTTATCTGTTGGGAGCGACACAACACCTGCTGGGCTGATGCAATCAGAAATCTACTCTACAAAGAGTTCAGCTGCTGGATTCTGTCTCGTGCCAGTCCCTTGCATTCCTCTGTGTGGGAGCACGGGTGTGTGTCTACTGAAACGCTTTATTGAAAGGAAAAGTTCAGATCCCTGCTAAAATGTTAAACAAAATTCAGGTTTTGTTTTGACTTTTCCTATTTTTGTAAAATAACTGCACACACACCACAAACTTATTTGTATTTAACAGATTGTTTTATCTAAAGTGATTTGAAAGAATATATGAGAGATCAGAATTCATTAGATCCATCATCACAGTTGGTAATTTATTTATCTTGTGTCTATTTAGAGGAAATCTGCAGGACTATATAGTTTCTATAATGTTATTTTATGCAGAAACGTACTGACGAAAGCATAAAATGATTGCTAGTCAGCAGCATTGAATCTCCAGGGCTCATAAAGTTCAATGTTTGCAACAGCAGGAGACACAAAGACAACTCAGTTTGATCCAAATATCCCCACTCGTGTGTGTTTCTTTAGTGTCCCTTCATCTTTAAAACTGGTGTCAGCAGATACGAGCAGAGCAAATGCGAAACCTTAAATGTGCATCACACAGTTATTTAAACATAGATCACGCACGTTGCATACTTTAACATATCGTCATAAACACATCAGCAGGTGTTCGAGGCTCATGTTGTCCCGGAGCCCTTCCTGCTTCGGAGTTTGACATCCATCTCATTCAAACCCCGTAGAGAAACAATCAATCACCACAGATCCATGTTTTTCCTTTTCCTACACCTCTCTGTCTTTTATTCCCTCTCGTGTTTCTGATGGATATGATTTGGATTTTCCTTTTCCATAAACCAGCCTCTCTGAGTGATGTCTGCAGCAGACACCAAACATTAGGTGGGTCTGTACATAGATATGTTTATATACATATCTATGGGTCTGTATAATGAAAGGCTGAAATTTGCTTTGTCTCACTGTGAAAGGCTCAACATCGCCCCCAAGTGGACAAAAACATCAGAATTCCCATGTTTGTGTTTAGTATAACATCCGTCCATCCATTTTGAAAACTCACAGGGACGCCGGGGGCTGGTGCCTATCTCCAGCAGTCTCCAGGCAGATTGCCAGTCCATCACAGGGCAACACAGAGACTCACAGGACAAACAACCATGCACACATACACCTAGGGATGATTTAGACAGACCAATCAACCTGACAGTCATATTTTTGGACTGTGAGTGGAAGCCGGAATACCTGGAGAGAGCCCCATGCGTGCAGAACATGCAAACTCCATGCAGGAAGACCCATCTATTATCTTCTGCTTAAGGTCACGGGGGCAGCAGCCCAAGCAGAGAGGCCCAGCTTCCCTCTCCCCAGCCACCAGAGCCAGCTCCTCAAGGGGAATCCCAAGGCGTTCCCTGGCCAGCCGAGTCCCTCCAGCGTGTCCTGGGTCTTCCTTTAGGTCTCTTCCCAGTTGGATGTGCCAGAAAACCTTACCAGGGATGGCTCCAGGAGGTGTTCTAAACAGATGCCCGAGCCACCTCAACTGGCTCTTCTTTTATGAAATTATTTTATAAATCAGCAAAAATACCCATCTTTCACTTTCACCTTTTAATTTAGAATACGTGGAAATTTCCTGTACATAGTTTATTTAAACACATATGATATAAAATAAAAATATACTATAAATATGTAAAACTTCCAATAACAGGGGTTTAGCGGGTTTGCAGGATGAAATGTGATCAAATGTGAAAACGACCGGAGTCTTTTGAACTGTCTACAAAATGAAGATGGCAGATAAAATATTTAGATACTATCTTCACCATAAAATATAATTTTTTTTAAAAAATCATTTGAAATTAGTCACATCAGTATATCTTCCAAGGTTGTAACATGTAAAATGTCCCGAATGAAATATGTCTCTAGGACAGGTTTGACTGTAGGATTGATGCCAGGACAGCATTGTTTTCATTTTTATCCTGTCTGACTTTTGTTCTGCAACCCCTTCCTTGTGTCTGTTCCTCAGGCTCCCACCAGCCTTTGCTGCCCAGGGGTGGCTACATGCGCTCTCCTTCATGGACGCGCTGCAGTAAAGTTGAGCCTCCTCGAGAGCGGAAGCATCACAGTGACTCAGACACTGCCGAGCCCTTAATGAAGCTAGAAAGGCCAAAGCATCCCTAACTGTTCAAGTCACAAGTCGCTATCGAACCCTGAGTTGGAGACGCCGTCAGAGTGGAGATCATCCACACGATGTCCCATGGTGCTGTGGAGTTCAGGCTGAACTCTGGATACTGTGCTCTCTACAAATGTGCATTACACACACACACACACACACACACACACACACACACACACACACACACACACACACACACACACACACACACACACACACACACACACACACACACACACACACACACACTTCTAATTTCCTCCTCTTTTTTAATTATTTCACTAATACAAGCCAATTTCATACAATCATCATCTTTAACTTCTCTAAAGGGTTTTCTGATTCACTCTGGGAGGCCAGGTGATTTTAACAGCAGGCCAGGAGGTCAATAAAGCACCTTCAGCTCCTTGGGGAGGGGCAGAGTGATGTCAGCATTAAATGTGAGATGCTAAATCTTCTGAATTACCAAAACATTAAAGTTTAATGGAAGCATAAATAGTTAATATCTGCAGATTCAATTAGACTAACATGACAGAGGTTTTACCCCCATATCACACCTCCCACCTGTCTAAATAAGAATGTGTGTTTTCATCTAAATGCCTCAGTGATACGTTCCTTCCTTTTTTTTTTATTCCAGCGTCCTGGAATTTCTCCTGTGATCCATTTTCTTTATCATTATAAGAGATCAAGGCTTGCTAAGAGTAAAAGTTAAATGTCCCCGAGACCTGGAATTAACAAAAAAGCGTGGAATGTTCAGAAAAAGGAAATGAAGGCAGAACCACAAGAACCAGATTGCCAAAAACGCAACGAAGTGCCAACGATTTTATTTAAGTCGAGTTAAATTCACAAGTAATCCTTATTTTATTTTAGAAGCTGATGAGTTTATTTGCAGCCTGTTAGGTCTGTCTGCATTATGAATACGGTACTTCTGAGTTCTGTTGCAAAACCAATGATGATGTAGAAGATTCAATAAAAAAAACTGTTGGCTCATTGTTTGCTTTATATTTTCTTTCAGTTTCAGGTTTGATTTAAATTCACACCAAATGAATTCTGCAACAAGCAAAAATCCCACGGAATAACAAAGCTGATGAATGTGTATAAAGGGTTTGATAGTGAGGTAGTATAAGGAGGTGAATGGTTAAATAAGAGTTCAGAATGACAGCCACTTCAGAGTGCGATGGGCTGTTTTAAATTGCCTGAAGTGCATGTGATGCCATAAGTTTGTATTTTTCTAATGTGCAAAAGCAAAATTAGGAACATGTTCTAACACTTCCTAAACCAGATCCACGCCTGTAGAATGTACAGATTGAAAATGAGGCAGGTTATGCAAACAATGTAAAATGAAAATTATTAAATTTTCTAAAATGTAAAACAGAAAGCAGCTGGGATGAGAATCAGCTCCTCTAAATCCACGACCATGGTCTTAAGTCGGAAAAGGGTAGAATTCCTTCTCCAGGTCAGGGATGAGGTCCTGCCTCAAGTGGAGGAGTTTAAGTATCTCAGGGTCTTGTTCACTAAGGAGGGAACGCTGGAGCGCGTAATCGATAGGCGGATTGGTGCTGTGTCTGCAGTGAAGCGGGCGTTGTAACGACCTGTCATGTTGAAGAGAGAGCTGAGCCGGAAGGCAAAGTTCTCGATTTATCGGTCGATCTCGTTCCTACCCTTACCTATGGTCACGAGCTTAGGGTAGTGACCGAAAGTATGAGATCGCAGATACAAGCGGCCGAAATTCGTTTTCTCCACAGGGTGTCTGGGCTCTCCCTTAGCGATAGGGTGAGAAGCTCGGTCATCCGGGAGGGGCTCGGAGTAGACCCACTGCTCCTCCATGTCAAGAGAAGCCAGTTGAGGTGGCTCGGGCATCTGGCCAGGATCCCTGGTGAGATTTTCCGGGCATGTCCAACTGGGACAGACCAAGGGAAGACCCACGCTGGAGGGACTATGTCTCTCAGCTGGCCAGGGAACGTCTTGGGATTCCCCCGGAAGAGCTGGCCCAAGTAGCTGGGGAGAGGGAAGTCTGGGCATCCCGGCTCAGGCTGCTGCCCCCGCGACCTGACTCCGAATAAGCAGCTGAAAATGGATGGATGGATGGATGGATGGATGGATGGATGGATGGATGGATGGTAAAACAGAAAAAATGTTTTCTGCATGTCCATCTGCAGTAGTGGAATCTATGATTCCACAAGATTTTTTGTGTTGGGAGAATATTAAGATACCATTTGTACAAATTACATGTATAAAATGTCTAAAACACGCCCAATAGTATAATCAAAACTCTAAATAAGAGTTATAACTCTGTGTCTGTATAAAGTTTTAATACTTGGAGTTGGGCTCAGGGGTCCTTGGCTTGTCCAGACCTATGGAAACGGAGATGATTGTGTTTATTCTTCATCCCCTTTGTTTTTGTCCAAACTCTTTTCCACATCCGGTAGAGAGATTCCCTCTTCATAATCCTCTGGCTGTTCCACAAATTCCTCATAGGAGTATTTTTGCTGAAAGGGTGGAGGTCCTAGAAGCTCCACCAGGTCGGCTCTGCTGAGCATCTCTTTTTCTAGGAGACGTTTTGCCACCTACAATTAAAAACAACAGTAACTATTAGTTTTAAAATGGATCTTTACCTTTTCTATAAATAATAATAATAATAATAATAATAATAATAACCAGGAGTGCAGGGATACAATATCCACGCTTGCAGTCATTATGACATAATCATTGATTATGTATTTACAGTTTAATCTATTCATAATTTCATGAAATCAGACAGAAACCTGCTGGTATTTAATCTGTTTCACTTTTTTTCCTCTGAAATACTTCAGGTTTAAAAATAAAAACACATCTCCCACCTTTTCTACCATTTTTTTCTTGTCTGTGATGAGCTGAAATGTTCGTTGGAAGGCAGCTTCCACGAGCGAGCGAACTTCCTGGTCTATAAGCTGTGCTTTGTATTCACTGTAAGGCTTCTCGGTCACTGCGTTCTCCTGCTGATGGAGGTCAAAAGAGACCAGACCTATCGCCTTATTCATCCCAAACTGCACAACCTAAAGCACGGAAATAAAATTGAGAGAATTTTTCCTCAAATGTTATTTCATACATTACAGATTCATTTCAATCCCAACAGTTCTGATGATGATATGCTTTAAAATCACACTTCGCTTTTATATGCATGCAATAAAATCTGTTACCTGTTCATAAGCTGACCGTGTGATCTCCCTGAGATCATCTTGTGTTCCGGTGGTGATTTGGCTAAAGAAAACCTGCTCAGCCGCTCGACCGCCCAACATCATGCACATTCTGTCAAACAGCTGCTCCTGGGTCAGCAGGTACTGCTCCTTAGGCAGATACTGCACGTAGCTCAGATCTTTCCCTCGAGGAACAATGGACACCTGATGGAGAAAGTCATGATGATCAAATGCTAGAAAAATGAAATCATAAGGGAAGTAGACAGGGTGAAGTGTACTGAATACCTTCAGTAATGGGTCAGCATGCTCGAGGAACCAGCTAGCAACAGCATAGCCAGCTTCATGATATGCAACCATGGTCTTTTCTGAAAGCTGCAGACCCTGAGTCTTCTCCAGACCTGAAAGAAAGGTGGACATCTCACAGAAATAACACTGAACTGAAATGCTACGTCTAATTTAAATACAATTAAATTAAATGGAAATACACACAAATGGATTTTAAGAAGACCATTAAATCTTATATAAAATAGTGGAATAGTTTTAATTTGAGGTTAAACAAGGGTAAAAAATCAAATGGGTTAAAATCAAGAACAAATAAGCAAACAATTCATCAGAAACTGCAAAAAAGGGACGTCCACTTAGAAAAAATTTGAATTATCCCAGCTTTGTTTAAAGAACATTACCAATAATTATATTAAACTTTATTGATATTGTTTTGGTAGAAACTGACTTATAAGGTGATTAACAGAGATAAAACTGTTGACTGATGGTTAAAACAATAACAACATAAGAAAACAATCAGGTTAAATAAATGGCATTAGCATTAAAGAACATCCAGTATAATAAAGAATAACTCTATCTCTTTAACTGTAGTACAGATGTGGTTTAAAGTTTCACCTCCAGCTTACCTCCAATGACCCTCTGAAATGCCTGCTCAAAGTCATCTGTGCTGATCCACTGGTTGAGATGACGTGCAGCTCTTAGAGCAGCTTCATTACAAATATTAGAGATTTCAGCTCCTGAAACACTCAATAAATAATCAGAAACTAATAAGACTGGCAGTTCATTCCTTAAAGTGCAAGTCACCTCCAAATAAACTTTTTTGGGCAATAAACTGTATAACTGAGTGTCTAACAGTGCTGTTGACACATGTAGTCAGTATTTTTACATTTTAGTTCATCTTATTTTAAACTGACAGATTCAGCCTAAAACTGTGAGCGTTGTGCCCGTTTCAGGTTAACCGTCTGTGTCACTCACTGCTGCAGCACCACCCTTTTGGTTTGCCAGGTGGCGCCTCCTTGTGGCGTAATTTTCAAACAGGAAATGTGGGTGGAGTAAGACTCTTGTGGGGGGGGGGGGGGGGGGGGTGACTTGCTCTTTAATAAAAAGTCAGAAAGCTGTGTACTGTAAATATTAAGATACACAAGGAGTGCAAATGATTTAGAACCCGTCAATAAAGGACTGTAGAATACTGGGTTTGGGAAAAATACAGAGGACCAAAGATAAACAGCAGGTACCGCATAATCTATCCTTACCAGTGAAACCTGGGGTCAGAGCTGCTAATTTCCTGGACAAAGACTGTAAATTTAAAAGGGGGTCCAACTTCAAGGGATTCAAATGCACTTTAAAGATGGAGGCTCGGCTTTCTACATCTGGAAAACCTGCGGAAGAGAGAACAGGAATTTCCTGAATTTTAAATTAGGCCAGAGCGTGTACCTTTTTGAATAAACTTAAAGGAAAACTGCCCCTATAATGCTGGTGTGGGTTGCAGGGGCGTGTCTAGCGGGGGGTGGGGGGTTGCGCTGTTTTCTGTAAAAAGACTGGCCACTCCATAAACTGAGGCAGTAAAACACCTAGAACTTATAACAAATAAAAACATAAAATCTGGAAAATATAAAAATTGAAATATCAAATGTAACACAACATTTGGAGCTTGGTTCATGCTCCAAAACATTTCTGAAATTCAGTTAATTAGACTAATGGGTTCAAACAAAACAACAAACCAGGGCAGACATTTAATTTCTTAATGATATTGAGGTTATTTCACTGATATTTTTCATTGGCATAATGTTTTAAAGGGACTTTACGGACTTTTGAATTTTTATGCTCGCGATTGCCCCCTCAGGCCAAAAGCGTAACGGCAGCTTCAATAGTAGGCTCGTGCACGAGGCGCGCATACTGTACGTGCACACTCCTTAACAAAAATAACAGCTGAGACAGTCCCGTGTGTGTGTGTGACCCAGAGGACAGAGGACAGGAGAACGCACAGCTAATTAATGAAATAATTTGCTTCTGTACCTTTCTCTTCAGCACAGCCGACAAAGGTTTAAGATGGGTCAGTCCTCCTGCATGCTCAGATCATTCCCTTCCCTTGCTTGAAAATTTTTTCCAAAATGAAAGTTGAACCCACATCTTTTTTATCTGTGAATTCAATGCCATTCGGCGAGTCTCAAATAAAAAATGTGGGCATCTTACTGTAAAAAAATATACCATTAATTTAAAAAAGAAACTCTAAATGAACCATGTTGACACCCAGAATCAAACCCAGGTCTTCTGCATGGAAGTCAGACATCTTACACGTTGAGCTACACTCTAGTAACATTCACAGTATCTGTAACATTTATATCCTTGATGACAGCTGAAACAACGTCAAACCAAAGAACGGTTCGGAGCGAAAATGGCTATTTTGTTGCTAATTTGCAGGAAATATCTAGAAGAAAGTAGCTAAGGGTCCTCAGAAATGTAGCTAGGTTCATCACTAGGCATTAGGAACAGTGACAAAGTCACTGAGTTGGCACTACCTCACTCTCTGCTGCTAAAGCTACTGATAGCAAATGCTACGGGCTATGCCTGAGCGTGAACGCGCATGAAGCAGCCTGCTCGACCCGAGCAACTCTCTTTTTCTGTGATTTTACAGAAAAACAGGCAATCACAGTAAAAATGCCAGGGCTCATTCTACAGGACCAGGGCATTGCAGGAGAATGTATGAAAAAGAAATGTATTATTTCTATACATGTTTTGGCTGTCAAACTTCCATAATGTCCCTTTAAAGCTCACCTATTTCTGTTGATAGCTGAAAAATATTTAAATAATTACAAATCACAAAATGTTTAAATGCACTAAAATGCTAGACTGGAAATAGCATCTACTTCATCCAAAGCGCGTCCTACTCTCTTTTCTCAACAAATCCTGACTTTACAACGCCAGAGAAAGTCCCAATTTTATAATAAATGTATGCATTTATTCAAGGAAAATTTTCTTAGATGATTATTGATAAAAATGCATCATTGGTATTGTGCTTAGATGTTTTTTGTTTTTGTTTAAAGAGGCCAATTAAATTAATGCTTGTAATTTTGTTTAAAAAAATCATAATTAAAAAAAAAATCAAAGTTATAAGCCGTTTACATGTGCCAACTTTGTCCACATTTATGGCCCAAGCTGCCCAATCCAAAAAAAATCTAGACACGCCACTGGTCGGTTGTTTCTGCACCTTAAACAAACTCTGAAAATCTAGACACATACAAACCGCACAACTGATAGAACAGGACAATAGTGAGAAAGCATGTGAGTTGCCAGTTGTTTTGTTTAATTGAAAAGCAGCTCAGTCGTTGTGGCCATGTTTTCTTTGTCAGAGAGACAGCTGGCCCTCCCACCGTCGCTGCATCAACCAAATTACATCTCAGCCTGCATGAAAAGATCAGTCCTTTCCATCAAACATGAAAGCATGTCAAATGCTATGCCTGGCTTTAATAACGTAACTGAGGAGCAGACACGGGAGATGAGATTTTAATTTAATAAACTTAAAGATAGTTTTCACAGGAATCAAGGTCAAGTTTAGCACCTAATCTCAAACAGGAATAAACAGCATAAGTTACATCCTGATCTAAACATTAGCATTTGAGCCAGAGAACGGTTTGCTGCCTGATGTGTGCTGATAGAATTCATTCACTGAAAAATATACAAAAAAAAAAAAACAAAAAAAAAAACAGCATCAAATAAACAGGAAAAGTCATTAAGTGATTATGTTTAAGTATAAATAAACTACTTGGAACATTTATGCAAGAGCAGAAAATTATACAGCTCATCGGGAGATGACTGGAATGCAAACTACAGAGACTTCCGTGTCGTATTTTACCCAAGCGTATATGCCGATCAAATCGTCCAGGTCTCATCAGAGCCGGGTCCAGGATATCAGCTCGATTGGTGCCAGCTAACACAACAATGTTAGTGCTGCTGTTAAATCCTGCAGTAACAGAAACACAAAACACACAGGGGGCTTTTAGAAAATATCAGTAATATAAAAGTAAAATGTCTAAGAGACTGCTAACCATCCATTTCCACAAGTAACTGGTTCAGAGTGTTTTCTTGTTCTCCCTGGCTGCCAAAGTTCCCCTGGCCTCTCTTCCTGCCGACTGCATCGATCTCATCGATGAAAACAATACAAGGGGCGATCTTTCGAGCTGTGGCAAACACATCTCTGATCTATCAAATTTATTAGAAAGAAAAGAAACAACAGATTATGTTAACAGCATCATAAACTGTCTCTGGATTGGTCAAATTAGGACTGACCCTGGCAGGACCCACACCAACAAAGACCTCCTGGAACTCAGAGCCGTTGACTGTGATGAAGGGGACACTGGCCTCTCCTGCTGTGGCTTTAGCCAGCAAAGTCTTCCCAGTTCCAGGTGGACCTGATAACAACGCACCCTGAAAACCAAGGAGCAACATTTTAAGGCTCTACCGTGGCATGTGAACCTTAATCTGTAGTAGCACATGACAAAAAGGCTTGTCTGATTGACCTTTGGTATCCTGGCTCCCAAGTCTTGGTACTGACTTGGGTTCTTCAGGAAGTTGACAAACTCTAAAACCTCTAGTTTGGCCTCTTCACATCCTGCCACATCCTTAAAGCGAACGCTGTTTCTATCCTCAATAATCCTGGCTTTGGATTTACTCATCCTGAAGGGGATTCCTTTCAAGCCACCTCCAAATGCTCCTGCCATCGGACCCTGACGCACGACAAAAAGTAAAATGCAACCCAAAAGTAAAGTTGGGAGGACACCTAAAAATACAGTCCTGGGGGGAGAAAAGCCTCTATTAGAGTTGAATGACAAGAGAAAAATGTGCAGCTGCTTTAATATTTCAATTCCATCTCCCACCAGTCACTTTCACTGGTGTAGAGGACTGGGATGGAGTCCAAGCCCATTTCCTGCTGAACCACCTCCAACTTATGTTCAAATGAGTCCACGCTGCCAATGTTGAACCACAAATAACTCTGCAAGACAAACAAAAAGGTTTATCGAACACCTGGTTTTGCTCTGTGTATCATCAGACAGACAGCAACTCCTCAGGACATGACAGTTGTCTTACTAACCACCTCAGATGAGTCCACTCCCTCAGCAGGAAACACTTTGACATACTGCTTATTGATAACCTCGATGTGACCGACCTGCACCGAGAGCACAAGGACTAGTATGCTTGCATGTCACAAATATGGACACACGAGGTAGAACTGTCTGTGAATCTCACCACGCCTCTGCTCAAGTAGCGATGCACAAAATCCTTCCAGGAGATCTGGACTCCAGTCCCTCTGAAGCGGAAGAAAAGAAAAGCTGTGGCCATGCCGGCTGCACCAAAGGCCAGGTTCAGCACCATTCCTCCATGCAGAGGAAAAGCTTTCTGGTGGATGAATTAATGTAATGAGATCAATATTGTATTCATAACTAATAAAGAAACTTCTTAGATCAGATATAAATAATTTAAATTTGAAGTACAAAAAAGTCTAAAGAAAACATTGTAAAACTGAACTTCATAATGTTGCCGCATTTTTTTTAACCAAAATGGTTTGGGACAGTCATTTAATCTGTGGTCTCTAATAGGAATAGAGGCCTTGCAAGTTGTACTCTGGGGAAGAAGAGCTCAGATGGGCCTGTTTCAGGAACTAGCAGAATGCCACAGCTGAGCTTCAGACGGCAGGATTTCGAGTTTTATTTCCTGATATTTGGACATCTTGCTTCAGATTTTATCACAGCAACTCCACTGTGCCACTAACTCTGTTTGTCTGCAATGTTGACGTTTTCAATCCACAAATAACACTGGCCTGGAGGAGTTCTGCTGTGTGGAGGAGTTGCTAATGCTAACTGCCTTCTTGCTGTTTCCTGGATGTGTCAATTGGAATTGTAGGATGTCCAAGGAAGATCCCGCCTTTTTCGCCTCTGATTGGCTATAAAGGCTCTACTACGATTGGCTATTTCATTTAGCAGCAAACCAACTGTCCTCGCTAAGTGCAGACTGTCCTTCAGCCACCAGCAGAAAGCTGTTTTGGGCAGTTTTGTAAAATAATAACCATTCTGTCCTGTTTTGCAAAACATTTTATGTTTCATAAAAAACTGAAAAATGTAAAATGTGAATTTATAATCTTGTTGCATTTATCAAACTGTTGGACTTACTTCATATCTCTTGGCTCTCAAGTATTATAGCACATAGGATAAATATATGTGCCTTACCTGGCATTGAAATGTAATAAAACTGCCCTATTCTGCCCAGCTGTGTGCATCAAGTCTGTTTCTTTTGTTGAATAATGAAAACTGGTGAAAAACAGGTCTAAATCATAATCAGATTTAACTTCATTTTGGAACTGGTTTGTTCCAAAATAAGAAAGGATGTGTATTAAAGCGATGAGTTTAAAATTTCCTCAAAAAACTCTAGGAAAAACTGTTTCCTCTTACATAAAATGGCCAATCACAGGAAAGCCTTTCCAGCCAATCAGAGGCAAGAAAGGTGGGACCTTCCTTGGACATCCTAGGATTCCAAATGACGCTTCCTGGACGCTAAACTGACAACAGTATTCCTCACCGTGAGTCAAGATGGGAGAGTCCATGAATGTCAAAGCAGCTTTCCGGAGTTTTCTCCTTTCAGAAATTATGTATGATTTGTCAGAAATCCATAAAAGTGATTATCTTGTCATGTACTGTGATATAATGTAAGAAATACGTCCTTTTTTTTTTACTATAAGCACGCCCCCTGCCCCGCAGAACTCTGTGCAATAGGAAACTGAGCGCCAACCAGAACTAACCAATAGCATTAGACTATCGCTTACTTGCTTCAAATTTAAGGAATACCTCGGCTGATGCAGAGTTGATAAACTTTTCACGGACAAGTAAGTCTCTAAAATATAAACATATGAGAACACAAGATTACATGAGAATAATACTCGTAAAACAGCGTGTTCTGGCTCTGTTTGTCGGCAACAGAAGCGCATTTATAAACAGAAATGTGAAGTTTCTTTAAAAAAAACAGAGCAACAGATGTTTTGTGTGATATACTTGTTAGCCACTAGATGGTGCCATCGGAAAAGAGAAATACTCCAGAAAGAAGCTTTAAGTGGTGACAGTGTGACGTAGATCTGTCATGCTTTTCAAATCCTAACATTTCACCGTTTCAAAAATTGATGTGGGAGATAGGTGTAGACTCTTGTCATGTTCAGCCTGCATGAAAAACTCAAGTGTGTGATTATAAATAGAAATAATCATTACAAAATTATTTTCCAGTGGTCCACACCTTTAAATATGTCCGTCTCTGTCAGGGAGTAAAAAAATAATTAAATATCCCCAAACTACTGTAATAACGTTGATTAAATATCCCAAATCATTAAGACGGAAACTTTTTCTTCAAGGTATTTCAAAAAAGAACAGAAGTGTTGAAATCTGGTTTGATACCAAACACCTTAACACCATTCCACCACTGTGATCCTTTCTTTTTCTCTCCTCTTTTTTCTCCGTCATCATTCGTTTCCTGCTTTTTCCTTCCAACAGACTCGTTCTCTTTGGTGTTTTGATCTAAATAATCAAAAATGAAAATAAGCACGAATAAAGGCAAAAAGGGGCATGTATAGGATTCTGAACACGCTTTTCTAAAGATGAAGAAATTCCCACCTTTTACAGAATCTTTGTTGCCATTGGTTGGTTTGCCCTTTGAGAAAATCCTTCCCAAATCTAAACAAACACAAAGAAGAAATGCCTCACACTGCAGCCAAAAAGATTTGGGTCACTGCTTGTGCTAATTTAGATTCATTATTCCCTCTAACAGCAGAAGAAGGTGCACTTCTTGTACCTTTTGGTGGTTTGTTGGAGCAGAATAGCAGTTTGACTGGAGAACTGTGCTGATGAAAGCCTTCGAGCAGCTTCTAACAAGAATGAAAGTAAAACTCAAATACAAAAAAAGCAATGAAACAAGAACTTATAGTATTACGCTATCATTTACAGTCGTGGTTTAGATAAAAATCCACCTTGCACATTTTTGTCCAAACATCAGTTACAAGATTACTGAATTTTCATTAATACTCTGAACCTACGTTTCCTCTCATTGAACTGATTATAATGCCTTTAATGAGAGTTTCTATTTAACAGCATGCCAGTTTATTAAAGGAAACTTTGAACTAAATTTTGATTGCATGAGAAAATCCTTTTTAATTAACACAAAATTAAACTGTATGCAATATATTATTTATTAACGATATTAGCATGCATGGACCTTTTAAGGGGAAATGTGTTTTGAACTTTAAATCTAACAGACCTTTTTGAATTGCAATGGGAATAAACTGAGGAAATTGTTTCATAAACGACAAAATTGCACGCAGAAGCTCTGCTTGCCCCTCATGGGAGTCCAGCTGAGGAATGATACATAAACACAGCTTGTTTGTTTGTCAGAGGGCTGGAGGAGCTGCTGTCTGCACAGATGACAAGTTTTTTTTCCCACGACACATCTCCAGAAAAGTCACACAAATCATTTTGCTGAAACTTAACACCAAATAACCAACGCGTTTAATGACAAATAAATGTTGCATGGATAATGAGAAAAACAAAAAGTAGAACTAAGGAGCTTAAAAACTAATCATACCAAAGTACCGACGGTACAAATTGTGGCTGAAAATGTGGTAAAGTCCCGTCTCCATGAGCGGACACTGCGGTTCCCAAGAGTCCAAACACTCAGAGACAGAAGGCCCATGGCTCACGGCAAGATTCACCGGATCGGCCCGTCCCGATCATGGATGTGGTCCGCTCTGGTCCTCCGCAGCAGACAGGTTGGATCAGCCGGGGAGAGGCTCTGCTCTGCACTGATTGGCTCAGCAATACAGCACACGCCTTGGAGGATCTCAACTCTCGCGAGATTTTAAAATAATAATGCATTGCACTTATATAGCGCTTTTCTAGGCACACAAAGACGCTTTCACACACTCTCACATTCACACACTGCTAGTGATGGTAAGCTACTTGTAGCCACAGCCGCCCTGGGGAGGTCTGACAGAGGCGAGGCTGGCCCCTCTGACCACCACTAATACAGGCAAGTTGGGTGAAGTGTCTTGCCCAAGGACACAACAGCAGAATATCCCTGGCGGGAGCTGGAATGGAACCCATGACCCTCATGATAATGAGGCAACCCGGTCTACCACCTGAGCTCCCGCTGCCCCAACAAAATCAAACGCCAATTTTACTCAGATTGGCTACAACTCCAATTAATTTATTTTTTTGCCTTAATTATTAAATTTAACCGAATTTATTTATTTTTTGTAATGTAATCTATTTAAATAGATGTTTGCTTAATTAAACTTATTCAGGCTTGTGCTACTTTAAAGAATGGCTCCACACTAGGCCTATATTTTTGGTAATCTAGTAGTGAGACAGTAATTTGAATCTGGATCTATGAAGAATTTGATGTTGGGAACTTGCATCTTATAAACTGAACATAAATTGAATCAACAGAACGATGCATTTCACTGGAATCACAGACATGTGAAAATAAGGCTTGAGGAGCTTGGTAAGAAATTTAATAGAAAATTCACAATGGGGCAACTGTATAAGATATCCTAGCTGTCTTTCGTCCATGGCTACATATAAAAAATAACACCTGCAATCATGAGGTCAAAACTCCATCATTCTTCAGGCTCCTTTGCGTTACAATAGCATTATTATTGTTGTTATAACAATTCAGATAAAATTAATTCAGTAACTTTATTCACGCACTGGTAAACACGACTTTGCTTTTTACCAAACATCATGTAGGTCCGTCACAACATACAGTTCATCATGCCGCTGAAAAACAACACAGCCACATATTATTTTAAAACAAATAATGTCCACTTAATACACTTATTATCATTAGACACAATGTGTTCTCAGTACTGTGGGATTATTTGGACTTTTTAACTTGAACTCAGGCACAGAAAGTTCATGAGAACCCAGATTGATCTGCTACACTGCACTGAACAGAAAAAGGACTAAATGCAGGCAAAGGTACAGGTGAGTTCACAGTTTTAAATAGCTGGAAAGTACAAATAACACCATTTTTTATTGAAACTGAAGATACATGCTGATTAAATATGGTTCCAGTATGTGATGTTTATACATTGATTTGAAGCCATTATTTATTTTTCTAGTTATCTGAGATAATGGAAAAATAGAAAAAGTCGTAACATGCCAACATGATGTTGCAAATGGAAAGCTGACAGTAATTATTACAGAAAGGCCTGTAATTACATAAGACTTCAGAAAATCTTAAAACAGATTAATGAATCATTATTCAAATCAGCAAGTAAATTCAAGAGGGAAATAAATATATATAAATATGCTGAAATGTTCACAGATTAGCATATTTAAGAATTACATCACGTTTGTTACATCAACTTTATACAAAAAAAACTGAAAATTTAAGGGAAAATACTTCAGTTTTATATGAAAATCATAATTTGATTGGTTTTTAATTGAGAGCTGGAAACATTATAACAACACGCCTTTCAAGTTTATCAGCCTGCTAATTTGGCCAAATATCAGTAGAGATTTGTCTCAAAGTTAGCGCACAAAGTTAGCGCTTGTGTCATCTCCGATACAGAAATCTTCTTTAGAGGTTAAACTGAAATTTTATTCAAGCAAACATAAAAATAGTCTAGCGCACTCTCTCACCTCCCACACATGCACGCAGTGTTCAGAACATCCTAAACTTAAAAGATTGCTATAGAAATTTATTTAATTCCAGAGGATTCTGTAAGTTCCCTGCTTTGTAACATAGTGCACTGGCAAAGAGATAAAATACTGAAACATCAATGCAGAACATTTAAGACTATTATGAGAAGCTCGTTTAAAGTTGGATCAAACTTCCTGGACCAGAGGTGAGCAACATCTGGTTAAAAATCAGGTCTTCATTTCTGGTGTTCTGCTCCCTTCTCATACGGCTCATCATCCTGTTTTCGCTCAGTCATTCTGGCACATCGTGGACACGTTGTGGAGTTGTCATAGTAACAATCTCTAAAAATACGCAACAAATACGTGTTAACAAAGTCTTTTTCTGTGATGAGTTATGTTAAACTTAAAAGCCTGTGCAAGAGTAATGAGAAGGAAACTTTAAAGATGGTTCCTTTTGTCAGATATATTTTTCATCCGTTTAGTGCTTACATTCAACACGAATGAGGTGCTAACAGCTAGTCAGAATGCAGCCATGAACAAAGTCTTTTGACGCCATCTGAAAACAGCGTCAGTCTCCCATATTTCATAGAAATGATAGCAATTCATTATGAAACCTAATATTACCACAATTTAATCATTATAGGGGTCTTTAAATGGAAATATTTACAAAATAACCAGGTACAGCAGTCCCTCGCTATAACGCGGCTCACCTATTGCAGCTTTGCAGAATTTTTTACGTCAATAAATAAAAGGCGACGAGGATAACTGACGCTAATGAAAATCCAATCAGCAAATGGAAAAGATAGGTGAACAGAAAAATAACCAATCAGTAATTGGAAGAGGCGGGACTAGATGAGGAAAGTACCAATCAGAGTCCAGATCCAGCCGCTGTTTGAACAAGTTAGCAGTAACGGTATACGCTGGCAATAATTGAACAATTTATGTCTAAAACGGGAAAATGTCAGCAGCTGGGTTGAAAAGCATTAAATGTGACCACTGAAAAGTCTTTGCTAGGCGAGTACACATCCAGGATCTCTCCTAGTTTTAAAAGTTCCGGTGGTAGCAGCGAGCAGGGGCAGGAGTGGAGTGTAATGCTGGAACCGAACCGAACACAACGCTCGGAATGGTGCATCTAGTTGTTTTATTGTTTTCATGGTGCTGCTATGACCATAGCGTTCAGTGTTCTAGCGGTGTATTTTTGAAGAAAAACATTCAGGAAGCTCCCTTTGGTAAAGGAAAACTAATAAACACACCAGAAAATAATTCTGACCTTTAGTGGAATAACGCATGCTTTTTATTTTTATTTTTTACAGCGTATTGACAGTGTTTAACCCTCCCGCATTGTTAATGGGGTCAGATGGACCTCTGGTGTATTATTTTTATTTTAATATTTTTTAAGGGGTGCATCACTTCACCCCTGCCGAGACATAAACTTTAAACCCTGTTTAACCACTCCCTGTTCTGACGGGGTCACCTGATAGGAAAGTGGAAGGGTTAAACAAGAGAGAAAAGTGTGAAAACGTTAATGCTTGTCTAAGAAAGGGTATAAAGTGTGTAGTGAGGGGTTTCACAGCTTTATAAGATCTATAATAGTTGGAAAAAATAAAACTGGCTACTTTGTGGATTTTGAAGGTTATTTCTGGAACACAGCTCCCGTAACGAGGGACCCATGTAAAGCAAAATTGAGTCGCTTTTTTTTGGCAGCAAAACCCTTCGATATCTGCTGCATTTAAACTAGCCGTTAGCTGATCAGTCATGTTGAACATAAACTCTGTTTTTTTAAACTTATGTCAGGACGCCACTTTAGTATTTTAACCATTTACCTGTGAAATACAGCAGAGCAGTCCTGGCACACAGAGGTGTGACTGTCAAAAGGAAACAAGATGTCGCCCTCCTTACAAAGCTCGCAGACAAACCCTTTGGCCTGACAACGCTTCATTTTCACACGAACGGAAAAAAGAGCAGAGAGGAAAAAATACAAGTCAGGGGTTATGGTTTCTTTACTTAGAAAATCAAAGTGAGGTGTAATATAAGGAAATAACCTGTAGATGCAAACACTTTGGCTGGGATTAACAATTATATCAAAATTATAAAACCTTTTTTGTAGTCTTTCCCATTTCTATTGTAATCCATGTCTAAAACTTACAGTATTACTTACATGCATTTGTGCCAACATAAACATTTGAGGGCATTTATATTTTTGTTGCATAAAATGTTAACCAGAAATTATGAGTTAAGGTCACCTCACAGTCGAGTTTGATGTGTTTAGCAAATATCGTGTGGATCTCAGTGAGAGAGCAGCTGAGTCGGCCGCTGGAGATGTCAATCAGGTCCTGCAGTGAGTACATGTCGTCGTTTTCAACAAAGTGCTGTCGATCTTGTAGCTGGGGAGTAGAAACATTGTGCTTCAGGAAAAAGAAACCTGATGGTAATTATCTATGAAACTTCAACAAAAACTGTTTTAATTTTGCAAATAAATCTAAAAAGAAGCACATTATTAGTTTCTTATGTTGTTTGTAACACACTGATTATCCGTTCTTCTAGTGTTTCTATGCTTGCTTTAACACCTTTAGAGTTCTGTCCTTAATAACGTATCCAACAAAAGTTAAAAAAAGATTGTGATGAAATGTTGCAATGCATTGTGTGATGTAGCCCTAGACAAGCAAGTGTGTATTTTGCATGAGTACCCATGAACCTGAGTCATTTAGCTCGTCTCAAAGTTGTACTTTCGTGTCCTAGAGATGTTCGAACAGGAAGGAACTAAGCACCACCGTTGGGGGGGGGGGGGGGGGGGGGGGGGGGGGGCTAATAGGACTCTAGGATTTTTTATCCTTTTTTCAAAGCCAGGTAGGTCAGTGACAACACGAAACAGCTGAAAAGGAAATGGGTCAAGCCAAAGACAGACAAAGCAAAGTGGTGGCAGTATTTATGTGGAAGATCAGATTTTCAGTGTGGAGCAGATCAAGGGGTGCGCGTATATTTGTTCCATACATTTTGTCAGTGGTAAAGGTCCTACGTATGGGAATAATGAGCTGATAATTGCAACACTCTTAGATGTGGAGATATCCAGGAGGCAGCGGTGTAAATAAAGGGGTTCAGATTAACATATCAACGCCAAACTGCATCCAACCGTGGACAAAAAGGGCTTTAGACCAGAGGTGGTTGTTATATAAAAAGTAGTGACACAAATAATAACCTAAGAGTAAAAAAAGAACTTAGAGAAAATGTTGCTTGCGCACCGTGAATAATGAGTAACTGTCTGAGCCTAAACTAAAATTAAAATTTTGTTTCTGTTGATTTGTTTTCAATTGCTGTCCAAGTCCCGCCATCTGCGTTTTTTCTATTGGCAAATGTGGTTTGTTTGTCTAGCACTAGCAACTAGCAGCACTAGCGTCTGGCAGCATCGCTCCTGAATTGTTACTTCACATCCGCAGCACTAGCAACTAGCAGCACTAGCACCTAGCAGCACTAGCACTCAGCAGCACTAGCAACTAGCAGCACTAGCACCTAGCAGCACTAGCACTCAGCAGCACTAGCACTATGCAGCACTAGCGCCCGGCAGCATCGCTCCTGAATTGTTACTTCACATCCGCAGCACTAGCAACTAGCAGCACTAGCACCTAGCAGCACTAGCACTCAGCAGCACTAGCAACTAGCAGCACTAGCACCTAGCAGCACTAGCACTCAGCAGCACTAGCAACTAGCAGCACTAGCACCCAGCAGCAGTAGCAACTAGCAGCACTAGCGCAGCAACATCAGTAACGGTGGACTACATCTATTGCTTAAGGGAATGTTGTAATTCGCCTTTTTCCTTTTTTTGTTTTGTTTTTTCTGTAAGTTTGAACTACATGTTTTTTTTTTACTTTTTATTTTGAGTTTGACATTGTACAATGTGGTTCAACAACCCTGACATTGAGCAGGAAAATCACAAAAGCAAAAAGAAACAAATAAATATATAATAAAAAAATTATATTAAAAATAACAAAAATTCTATAAAGAATAAAAGTACAATCATTTAATTTCATCGCTAAGATTATGTTTTTTCCCCATTTTCTTTGCCTTTCTTCCCTTTTCCTTCCCTTCTCTTTCCCTCCCCTCCCCTTCCCTTTCTTTTTTCTTTTCCCTTCTCTTCCCCCTTCTTTTCCTTCCATTCTATATTCTTTATTTTTCCTTTTTCCCCCTTTTCCCTCTTCCCCTCCCTCTCTCTTCTCCTTTCTTCCCTTCGCTTTTACAACCCCCATTTTCATAATAGCAAAAATTCATATTGACATCAGAGTAGACAACAGGCAAACAACAAACAAATACATCACTTTACTAAGTATTGCTTGACACACTCCCATCTATCCCGGAACAGATCCACCTTCATTTGCAGTATAGACGTCATCTGTTCCATTACATATATTTGTTTAATTCTCTCTTTCCATTCTTTTATAGTTGGGGAGTTCACCTCCTTCCATTTTACTGTTATAATTTTCTTTGCAGCCAATAATAAAATACGGGCAATATATATTTGGTCTAAGTTTAACATTTCGCTTGACGTAGCCCCCAACAGATAGAACAAAGGGTGTGAAGGTAACTCCTTTCCCAGAATTTTTCCAACTCTTCCTTTATGTCTCTCCAATATTTAAGAATAACTGGGCAATTCCAGAATATATGGGAGTGGTCCCCCACCTCCCCACAGTTCCTCCAGCAAAGTGAAGACAGGGCATCTTTTGCAAACCCCGCTACAACTAGGGGGGTAAAAAAAGTACCTTGTTTTTATCTGCCACTCAAATTCCTTCCACATGTGGCTGTTGATCCCCCAATGAATTTGTCTACATATATCTTCCCACGGTTCATCTTCAATTAGTATATTTAATTCTAATTCCAATTTCTCCTTTATATATTTCGTATTATGTGTAAAGCCAAGAAAGAAGCTTCTATATGGATTAGTAACATAGCCTTTTGCTTGGGATTTTTTTTCCTATGCGTGAAATAAAATATTGTTCTATTGCATTTGGCTGTTTATAAAGTCTTTCTTTCTCTCTATGATTCATGATATAATGCCTTATCTGAAAATATTTATACGTCAATCATGGGGAGATCGAATTGTTCCCTATTCTGTGAGAATGTTTTAAGGTCTGTTTCTCCAAACAATTGGTCAAGAATAATAAGACCATTATTTGCCCTTTTTTAAAACCCCGAGTCTAATTTGGATGGGGGGAACCCGATGCTATCTAGTATTGGCATGGCCCGAGAAATAGAACCTTTGTCGTTCAGCATTTTCTTTATTTCCCTCCAGGCCCACAGAGTATGTTTTATAATTATATTGTCTATGTTTAATTTCTGGATATCCTTTGGCTTAAGAAATTGTAAGACTGACAGTTCTGTACCTTTAATTTCACCTTGTTCTATCTGGTTCCATATTAGGTCCCTATCTCCCTCCAGCCAGTGAACTATCGCTGTTAATTAGGCTGCCCAATAATAATATATCAGATTAGGCACTGCTAGTCCCCCCTTTCGCTTTCGGCAGCTGAAGTGTCTTAAGCCTTACCCTTGGTTTTTTATGTTGCCATATAAATTGAGAGAACAATTTGTTCAATGTCTTAAATATGGGAGCGGGGATTCTTATGGGTAGGGATTGGAGCAAAAAGAGAAAGCGTGGTAGAACATTCATTTTAAATGTATCAATTCTGCCAAATAAAGATAGAGGGAGAATCATCCATTGGGTCAGGTCAGCCTTGACCTGTTTAATTAGTCTGGTGTAGTTTGCTTCGAACAGAGCTGTAGGTCGGGGAGTCAGCACTATCCCTAGGTATCTAAGCCCTTTATTAGTCCTGTGAAAGGATACCGTTTCATTTAGTTCTTTTGGCCAGTCCCCCATAACCATCATTACTTCCGATTTATTTTGATTTATTTTATATTCTGAGATTTCTGCGCAAGTATCTAGATTGTTAAGCAGTGCTGTACTGATATTTTTGGATTTTTTATAAAAAAGTAGAATATCATCTGCAAATAAAGCAATTTTATGAACCGTCCCTTCTCCGTCTCTTATTCCCTGAATCAACTTGTTCTGGCGAATTATTTCTGCCAGTGGCTCAATACTCAAGGCAAAAAGTACAGATGATAATGAATCTCCCTGCCTCACCCCTCTTTCTACCTTAAATAATTTTGAACAATAACCATTTATTCTTACTGTTGATTTTGGGTTTTTCTATAAAACATTGAACCAATCTACAAACTTTTTCCCAAAGCCCATTTCCAAAAGAGTATATTTAAAAAAGGTCTAGTCTACTCGGTCGAAGGCTTTCTCTGCATCTAAGAGCATGTATGTGTTTATCTTTCATGATTATTGACTGTAGGTTCAAAGCTCTCCTCACATTATTTGTGCCTTGACGACCTAAAATAAAACCAGTCTGGTCTGGTTTAATGACTTTCTTGATATGTATCTGTATTCTAGATGCTAGTATTGATGTCAGTATTTTTTTAGACCACACAAAGCAGGCTTATAGGGCGATAGCTGGGGCATTGGAGAGGATCTTTCCCTTCCTTGTGCAGAACTGTAATAATCACTTCTTTCCGTGATTCAGGAGGATTCCCTGAGTCTAATACGTAATTATAAGGTTTACATAATATAGGGGTAAGCTCAGTAATAAAGGTTTTATAGTATTCCCCTGCAAAACCATCCGTGTCTGGTGAGCTATTATTTTTAAGTTTATTAATACTATTTCTAACTTCAGTCTCTTTTATTGGTTCTGTTAAACTAGCCCCTTCTTCTTCTGACAATCTATCCAACTTAGGAGTTTTATAGAAATCTTTTATGCTGTCTAATTTTAAGGCCGAAGCTTGGCCTGTATATAATTTATGATAATATTCTGCAAAAGCATCTGAAATCCCTTTTTGGATTCATTTCTACCTTATTCATATTTAGTGAGTTAATTTTGGGTATTATACGACTGGCTTGGGCCTTTCTCAGCTGAAAAGCTTAAAGTTTACTTGCTTTATCCCCATTTCATAATAATTTCTTTTTATAAATCTTAGGGCTCCTTCTGCCTTATACGTTAGTAGACTGTCCAGCTGAGCTCTTATATCTTTCAAATTATCCAGTGTTTCCTGTCATCCATTTTGTTTATGTTCCTTTTCCAACTTTTTTATTTTGGTCTCTAATTCTATCTGTTTTCTCTCCCTTTCTCTCTTTATTCCAGAACCTATTGAAATGAGTTTACCTCTTATTGTAGCCTTTCCTGCATCCCACAGCACTGTTGGTGAAACCTCCCCATTATCATGCATGTCAAAATATTCTATTAGGGCTGATCTCACTTCCTCTCTTACATGCTTATCTGTTAGTAGGGATACATTGATCCTCCAGTATCTACTCTGAGTTTCTGATCCTATGTCCATCCTCATAGTAACTGGGCTACGGTCTGAGATTGTAATTGGTTCAATTGTGCATTCTTTAATTCTAAATGTATCTTTCTTAACCGTAAAGAAGTAATCTAGTCTTGTGTAGCTTCCATGTACCTGTGAGTTGAAAGTAAAATCTTTTTCGTTTGGGTGGAGATGGCGCCAGCCATCTATTAGCGCCAGCTCTTCAATCATGTTTGTTAGACTTTTAGATTTTCTGTTTTGTGGTTTCGAGGAGGTAGGTAGTTTATCTAACTTATAGTTGATTACACAGTTGAGGTCACCCCCAATAAGAATCAGACCATTCCCTCTCTCCGCAATTAGTTGAGCCATTCTTTAGAACATTTTGGGACAATCTTCATTTGGTGCATAAATATTTAGTACCATTAACTTAACCCCTGCAACTGAGCCAACCACCATAACAAATCTACCTTTTTTGACCTCGATTATCTCTTCATTAGTATAATAAACATTTTTATTAAATAATATAGCTACTCCTCTTTTTTCCCGTTGCCATATGAGGCACTATATACTTGATCTACCCACTCTCTTTTTAGTTGTTGATGGTCTGTCTCTGATAAATGCATTTCCTGGAGCAGAGCTATAGAGCAGGGATTCCCAAAGTATGGTGCGCGCACCCCTGGGGGTGCGCAAGCTGCCGCTAGGGGTGCGCAAGGTGAAAAGTGTAATGGCTGCGGAGCTCAGAGAAGTCTGTCATATGTCACCATTAGCGTAGCCAGAAACTCATTTGTGGGTGGGCCAAAGAAAAAGTAAGTGGACCCAATAACTGCAATTGAAAACAAGTATATTTTTGCGCGCGCACGTGTGTCCTCCACATGTGCCCTAGCTTCATAATAGCAATGTGCCGAGCTTCAGCACTCTGGCCTGCGCACGCCGATATGTTCCGTATTTGATAATTTTTAACGATGTTGGAGAAATCTGAAGGTGGTGAGTCATTCTGGCAGATTGTAATTAACACCCTGTCTCATGCAGGTGTTCTGACATTGTAAACCTCACACACAGAACATTGTGGATGTAACTAAATAAATCAAGAAATGATTCCCATTCAGGCTATTAACAGCGCGCTGAAGATCTGAAGTTCAGAGTGCGTCTGTCAGAGGTCAGACGCGTTCCAGCGGAACCACGGCTCACGGGTGCACATGTGAGCTCATCTGGGCTGGGCAGAAGTAATTTTACAACATTGGTTTAAATAGCGCCAATATAGCGCCAACATAGAAGGGGGTGCGCGGCTAAATAAGTTTGGGAACCACTGCTATAGAGCATTGCATTTTTTTTAATTGGCCCAGGATCTTCTTCCTTTTAATGGGATTATAGATTTCCTTTATATTATATGTAACTACTTTTAAATAGTTCATTGCTATTTTGTTTCGAAAATGTATTACCTTTTGATTGCATGTAAACACAAAAAACAATAGATAAACAAAAATCTAACTGCACATACACATACATAATAAAGTAAAATTTAAACCTACTTGTCAGTACAACATCTTTATTTATATAAATCTGAGCTTCCAAACTACTAGCCTGTCGCAGTGTTGTATCTAGAACTGCGTCTGGCTCCCGTTGGTAAGGAACCAGGGGGTGGTGACTTAATCTCCCTGTAGAAAACTGCACATAGTGTGCAATGACGCCCAATAATACATATTTATGAAGAAAAGGACGTAGTTGCGCATTCTTCATGAGAAAAAAAAAACAAAACAAAAGAAAAACCCAATGGGGAATCACGATTCTTCCCGTCAGACTTTTAACCTAAGAATATATAACAGTGTCCTTGACAAATTTCCTATTAAATCCTTACTTAAATAATCCACATTTATCTTTATTTATTTTATATATATATATATATATATATATTTTACCACTTATCTCGACTAAAACTTCATCTAATCATGCTATTTTAATACCTCTTTCTGTTTTTTAGTCCTCCTGTGTGGTGACCTCTTTTTTTTTTTTTTTTTTTATACTTCTAATATTCCAGTCCGTTGTCTGTTCCTTCTCTGTGTGCTCTTCCTCCCCTCCATATACCTGGACACCCAGGCTGCTCAGCACTTCGGCCGCACTCTTCAATGTAATGTAGGTCTTCTCTCCCGAGTCCAGCTTCAGTTTAAGCCGTGCCGGGCACAAGGTACCCCGATACCTTTCTGGCGTAGTTGTTTGATAACTGTGCGCACCCTCGCTCGCTTTTTATGCAGCTCTGGCAAGTAGTCTTGATTGAAAAAGATCCTCTTGCCCTGGAAAAGCACTTGTCTTTGGCTCCATGCTTGCTTTAAAATGAGATCCTTCACAGCTGCATCCAGGATTTTCACCACAATAGACCGAGGTGTTGCCAGGTGGTCTCTTGGTCATACTTGGAGCGAGCGATGCGCTCTTTCTATCCTAATGTCCAAGTCTGGGGGGAGCGTCAGAACTTTATTTAATAAATCTTTAGTAAAGCCTATCAAGTTTCCACCTTCACTCTCCTCTGGCACTTGGAAAATCCTCATATTGTTCCTCCTTAGTCTATTTTGGAGATCTTCAAAGGTGTTTGTCAGCTTTCACTGTTTTCCTGTTGTTGAAGTTAATTGTTTTTGGTTGATATGAAATTAAATGTCCTGCAGCACTTTGTAGCTTAATAAAAAGTATAGATGGATATAATAAAGCACATTTAACTCACAGCAAGAACTAAATATTTAGAAGCTGATTTTAAAACAAGCAAAACTGTTTTCTGTTTCCTCCACATGGTGGCAGTGTTGTTTGAACAGTTGTCGGACTAGTTCAGTGGTTCCCAACCTTTTTCCAGGTAGACCCCCTTATCTGTGTCAAAAGCAAGCCACTCCAACCCCAACGTCTACCAGAATACACACATCAAAGGTGATTAAATGCAAACTTTACTCAGAGTTGTGACTCTTATACAGAGTTTTGATTATATTGTTTGGGGATTTATTGGAATTGTATGCATGTAATCTTTACAAATATAATCCTGGTAATCTTACAACCTCAGCACAGACTAAAGACTGAATTGTGGGGACCCTCTTGGGGGGTCACGGACCCCAGGCTGGGAACCACTGGACTAGTTGCTGTTTAACTTTAGGTAAGTAGAAAATATAGTTACTGACTTGAAGTAGTAGCCGAGCTTCCATCGCTTCCTTGCAAGTTAAAAAGTAGGGTTTCATCAACAGAATATCTTGACGAAGTTTCTGTGTAAAACAAACAGCAGACACACACACACCTCAAGTCGTGACATACACTGCAAACGCAGCATATTTTTAAAGAAAATGTACTCAACTTCTACATAAAATGACATAACCCACCTTGATCTCAACCAGTTCCTCCACAAAGTTGAACAGCAGCGGGTTGATTTCCTTCAGCTTCAGCACCGGACGTGACATCATGAGCGCCAAATATCGCAACGAGGAACGACAAACCTGGAAAAGAGCCACTGTGAACACACACACCAGCTGACGGAGAACACAGAAGTCCATTTATGTAAATTGGCTTGCTTTACATTAGAGATGGAGGGCAACATATTGACTGATTGGCTCCATGGGGGAGTAATGCACAAATAAACACATAAAAACTTGACAGAAGATAAAAAAATGTGATTGTAACATCTGAATAATCATGAAAGGAAACTTTTGCTGAAACATGAAATTTTTTCTTGCAAGGACATTTTTTTAAAAGATCTATTGGTCACTGCAGCAATGAAGTGGTGTTATCCTGGGCCTTTATTTATCATAAGGTAAATCATGCTTTGTGTGCAACTCCTTTTGACCTGGATTTTCTGACCTGTTAAAAAAAAACAGGTCATATGCAGCCTGGCTTTCATAAGTGATACTTCTAATCTAGTTTCAATTACATAAATGGATGGCTTTTGGGTGAATGTTTTCAGATTTGAGCAGCATTCCTTCCAGTTAGTGAACTGACATGATTAGAGAAGGATGGCATTTATTCAGGGCCTTGGTGAGGAAAAAAACATGTTTGCCTAGTTGTTCAACAGTGATTTGTTATATGTTCAACATCAGTATTGTAACAGCTGACAATCCGAGTCTGATTTGATGCTTTAGATTTTAGATTTGAGATCGAAATCCACAAATTAATTCATTTGCAGGTTTTACTGATGAAAAAAGAGAATCACTACAATCTCTAATGGAATTTTCTCTATCTCCTAACAGGACTGCAAAAATAAAAATGCAACTAATCATACCGTGATTTTAGAAGATTAATGACTGTATATTAGTTTCAAAATAACTGATTTAGAGGATATTTGATTATTTTATCATTTAAATTCCCTTTAAAATAACAGTCAATATGGCTCTCTGGCTCTCAAATGTCTTTCTTCATCTTTACTGTGAATGCTTAACAGCAGATCATGCAAACTCTTTGGTGAAATACATTTTAGCGAATGTCTTTATTTGATGACGTTCACAGATTTTGGGTCCATTAAAAAACAAAGCCTGCAAGAACACGTAAACAGATTATTGCATTTCTACATGTAGGCTGTATTTTTGTTAGGCTGTCAGGGATACCTTGCGTGGTTCAAACTCCCAGTTGTGGATGACCCGGGCTGGGACAATGGCGGTGTCGTTCCAGTGGCACGTGCTGCAGTAGTACTGGCCTGTGTAGTCGCACTGTCTGGCTTCAGTTGGTACACCTCCTTAAAAATTAATACATTAGAGTAAAAATATAAGAGAAAAAGAAGACTCACTATCCCAACATGACCCCTTCTGAGGGGTCAGAAGTTGTACTCTATAAAACATATCATGCTGACCATCTGTGAAAGTACTTTAAAAACATCTGGAGAGTTATTCCCAAACTTGGACTCACTCAGTGAAATGGGCGTCCGACACTCAGCACAGCGGTAATCTTGACGATCGAGTCCGATTTCTGGGCAGATGCTAAGTTCGTACTCTGACTGGTGGCTCACCTTTGACCTGACGCACGGTTTTGTGATCAGGTTCATACACTTACTATGGCAACGATAATAGCATCCTGGAAAACAAGGACAAAATCATTGGAACAGGATTTTTTTTTTTAAGTTTTAAGCTTCAGCACAAAGATAAAATGCTAATCCTAGTCTTGTATTGACTCTGAGACACACACATTTAAAAATAAAAGCTGGTTCACTGAAAGCCATTACCCAGAGCTGTATCTTTGTGATTTAAAGTCAAGTTAAAGTGAAATTACATCTCCACATTTGGCCCATCCCGGCAGGGAGCAGTGAGCTGCAGCGGTGGCTGATCTCAGGAGCTATTTGGTGATTTAACACCCCCCCACCCCACCCCACCCCCCCAATCCAACCCATTAAAGCTGAGTATCAAGCAGGGAGATGCACCTGTTTCAGGAAGTACAAGTCAGCTGGAGGAGAAAGAAGCTTCACACGGCAGGTTTTGCAATCGTATGTCATGATATTTGGACAGCTCGCCTCGAACTGGATAACACTGACTCGGTTTGCTCTGCAAGGTTGATGTTTCATCTACAGAAATCGCAAGCCTGGAAGTGTGCTAAAGCAGGAGATAGGTGTAGGAGACTATTTTCATGTTCGGAGGGAAAAACTCAGAGTAACTGATTATAATCAGAAATAATCATTAAAAATGCTTTTTTAGTGTTCCACACCTTTAATGTAAAAAGCATCTCTTGGCCTGGTGCTGCTTTCTGACTTTTATTTTCATTTCCTCATTCATGCGGTTGACAATTCATCATTATGAAACAAATCACTAGTTTATAGGCTAAGCGCTCAAACACCACATTTAAAATGACCAGTCAATTATGTTCCATCAGCAGAAGAACAAAGAGAAAGTTTCATTTCTCTGAATAAAATAAAATGTTATTATTGTGCTTCCTTATTACAGTGTGGATATAGAAAACAAGTCAGTTGTCTGGTTGTAAATCAGTTTCACTGCTTTCAAAACTTTATTGGACTTTACTGAAGCAAACATGTAAACAAGTCACATAACTTCTCATGCTAGTTCTTTTTCTGATTTGAGATCATCAAAGAGAAGCTCAAATCACTTTATAGTAAACCAACCTAAAATTAGTTTTAAAAACATTTAAACATCAGATTTGGTTAAATCTACTTCCATCAAGCAGAGCCCTACGTGTGTCTCACCTGTGCAGGTATACCAGGTCTGAATTAGACCCCATATGATGGCACTACACTTGTCACAAGTCTGTTTCACACTCTTGCTCTTCTCTTTTGAGAAACGATGCTCCAGTATGACTCTTAGATTAGGCTCATCCTCCTCTGGGTCCTGTTGAAGAAAAATAACAAAATAAAAAATTTTAAAGGTGCGGTTCATTTGTTTAATTAAAACATTTGCAGTGGTCTCTAGTAAGAATGAATGCCTTATAAGCTGTACTATGGGTAAAAAAAAAACCTGGGGCGCCTGTTTCAGAAGATTGTACGATACGAGGAGAGCCTTAGACAGCAGGTTTTGGAATCTTACTTCCTCATATTTGGACATCTCACCTCTGATTGGTTAACAGCAACGTGACTACTACTGACTGCTCTGCAACATTGATGTTTTATCTCCACACATAACAGAAGCCTAGAGGAGTTTCTGCCACATCGTGGTGTTGCTAATGCTAACGGCTAGCTTCTGCTAGTTGAGACGTGCTCTGCTGTTTTCTAAACGCTAAACCAACAACAGCCTTCCCCATCACAAGTCAAGATGGGCGAGTCCATGAATGTTAAGTGTCAGTATAATGTAGATCTGTCAGGCTTTTCTAATCCTAGAGTTTCACATCAGAAGCTAATGCAGGAGATAGGTGTAGGAGACTATTTTCATGTTCATGAAAAACTCAAGAGGGACCCATTAAAATGAAAAAATAATCATTAAAATATGGGTTTTCAATGAAGCACATCTTTAAATATTTAAACTCCAATTTAACAATTAAAAGCTTCACTTGGAATGATTATGAAAGACACAGTGAATGTTAAAAACTCTAAATCATGGATATTAGAACTTCTTAGCTTTTCTTAGAATAAAGTTTTTGTTGAGTGTTTTCTTTTAGTTTATAAGAATCAGTGTGAAATATCAGCAAAGTGTTTATCACTTAAAACCATTTTAAGGTGGAGAAACAATTCTTCTGTAAGGAACTGGGCTGAACTTCTTTGTCCATTTTCTGTTTTATTCAAATTTTCATTTATCAGTTTTTTGTTCTATTTTCTTTAGCAAAGTCATCAGTCATGTGTTCTGCTTGTCCACCTGAGGCAGCACTCCGAGCTGAAGCCTCACCTTAAGTTCCTGTAATTTGAGCCGAAGGTGGATCAGCTTCACCACAGTGTCCTTTTGTCTCTCCGAGTGTTCTGGCAGCTCCAGGATCAGCTTTTTACACTCCCCTATTGCCTGTTTCAGCTGTTCGATGTCTGATGCCACAAAGGATCCCTGCAACCGCAAAATTCAACATTTGGTTTAAAAATAAAAGCAAGCTGATGTGTTCAATGTGGTTAAATAACAGCCAACATGAGTCGCTTACCACAGGTCTTGAGAAATGGTCCTCAGCTAGACCGAGATCCATGGTGCGATCTGAATTGTGGGTTTTGGGCCCAGAAAATAATTCAGGTTTTGCTTCTAAAAAGAGAGAAATGGGACTTAAAGTTCTTCCTCACAGCAAAGATAAAGAGTGAACTGGTGAGCGCTCTCAGACATCCACGATGTTTATTCATATGACAGCAGCTCAGAACAGCAGCCAAGTCTGAAAAGAGCCCAATAAAACACAGAAAAAACTGATAACTGAACTATGAGCTCTGGTAATGTGCAACCAAACTAGTTAATGAGACATACAGCCACGTGGTCATAATGAAACCATGTAGAAAAGACTCTTATAACCTGAATTAATATGAGTCCTGCATCTCTTTTTCCGTCTGATGAAAAGAAAAATAAACAATGTTACAAAAATACAATAAAAAAAACGGAAGAAATGTGCTTTTTTATGTGAAATCAATACAAAAGACTCTTGGTCCAGAGAATACGTGATTTGTAGGAAAACACTGAGCAGCTAATTGAAATTTAAAACAACAACAACCTGGGTTAAACTTTCATCCCTGTAAAACTAAAACCATCACTGATAAAACAAACTGGTTTGGCTTAAAGCTGCAGACATATGCTGCCTTTACCTGCGTACACATCAGAGCAAAGCATGTTACTGGTGGCAGACCGGCCAGATGACAACAGGAGAATCAGAGCCACTTGTGTGTCGTCTTGCTAGTTAAAACGATTGTAATCAAGCACAAAAATCCTAAAATAAAGGAAGTGTTACCAACGCTTTTTCCTTCTCATTTGCTCTGCTTTAGCTACAGTATTTTGCCACTTCTTGTTTCATAAACTTGGGAGTTGGTCGTTTACGATTCGTTCTACTAAATGTTTCATCTGAGAAAAAACTTTCAGGTAAAACGCCCTGTGAGGTGAGAAGAGAACAACTTTACGTCGTCTACTAAAAGAAAACATTAGCAAAAACAGAAACCCTGATGTAAAAAAAAAACTATTAACCCCACAAAATGCTTTTCATACCAATAAATATCCAACTGAATTTATTCCTAACTTAGAAAACCATCATCCACATTTGAGCTTCTATGGTTCTTGTGACTGAACACTCAGTTAACAGTTTAACTGACTTCATATCATTATTCACAGTTTATCACATTTGAATGAATCAATGGTGAATTAAGTGAGAGGAAATCCAAATCATCCAGATTAGAGATGAAAGGTTATCGTTTCTAATCTAATTATGCAGAACAACAGGTATCAGAACGATGACGAATGAGGTCCCATAAAAGTAGAATTAATGTTCATTTTTATAAAAACAAGAAACAAACAACTGAGGGATTGTTATGGAGGTTTTTATTACCAGAGTGGAGTGTTTCTGAACTGTGTGGCTGCAGAAAAACTTAAAATAAAACAACTTTTAAAAGTCACTAAAGCTTCTCATCACAACAAATGAAGTGAAGTTTTTATCCAACGTTGGAAGAAAAAAGTTTAGGTTATTAATAAAATGTCACATACCAAATTTGCAGAAAAGTTGGAAGCTTTTTAAAACTTGGTGAAAACCTAAATATATAATTTGTTTTATATAAAGACACAAATGCAAACATTTTTTTCTTCACATTATAAGAAATAATAAGCTCTGTTACAAATGCAAACAAATCTAGGATCTTGTGAGTTTTATCATCAACATCATTATTTTTACTATTATTATTATTATTATTTAATCATTTCATGAGAACTCATTGTGATTATTCTTCCTGATCTTTTCACAACTCAACTACACAAATTGTTGCAAACACACTAGTTACTTTATTGATCACAGAGTTGGTTTGCTATGGCGTCACCAGGAAGTCTGAAAGTCAAATATTTTATGATATTTAAACTTTGTGGACATATTCTTTGCCATTTTTCTTTAAGAAATTACTTGTTTTAGCCTGTCGATAAATTTAGAATTTAGTTGCATTTAAAGAGCAAATTGCAGGTAATTTTTTTTCTAATTCATATAAAATGCTGTACAAAATACTATCTGAGATGCTTATTGTGGATATTTTGTTTTAAAATACATAACAGCAGAGTTTTCTAGTAAAAAGTGACCTTTCTCAGCAGAGTTTCTAAAAAGGCTCTTTGTTCTAAGTCTGAACCTCTGACGTAACCAAAGGGAGTTTGAAGCTAGGTGCTGCCTCAGCTCAGTGTGAAGAGTGGGTAGTTTTAGGGTAGAGAGGTCATGTTATGGAGTCATTGTGTGTTTTAACTAGTTTTGGATTGTGTTAATTTTGATAAACTATCGTTTGTGAAGGCTTTATCAACTCCAGCCTGTCCGGACATCGAGTCCACGGGTTTCCAAGTAAGAGAAACAACGCCTCTATCTCCGTGCCTGAGGGCGTTTTGTGCAGCTGAAAAGACGGACTTCTGTAGCCCTCATCGGCTGGTACTGGGACAGGGAGGTCCGCACGGGGCTCCAGAGACCCGTGGCGGGGTTTAAAAAATTAAATGCAGATTTCTGGAACTTAGATCACCATCAGAACCGACCACAATAAGAGACGCTCGGCTCAGCAGACCAACTGGTTTCCGGGTCGGAACTGGATCAGAACCGCCGTCGACTGGCTCACTGGTGTCTGGGTCAGATCCAGCTCACAGAAGCCCGCATGAGCTCCAGAACTGGATGACATGCATGCATCTATCTCCCTCTCTCTAAGCGCTAAACTACGTTACATGAACAGATATTAACGAGTATGAGACAGATGCTCATTTGTATTAATATTATATTAACTGACTAATACCATTTTAATTGTCTGGTACATGATAGTAATCTGTGCAATATTGTGATGTTAGCACACAAGTTTAAGCTAGCATTGTTTACTCACAAGACACCTGCTGCTCCCCCGCTGCTTCTCCTCAATCTCTCTGCTTTGGCGGATGGTTTCTCTCTCTGGTTTGTCTCTGCTCTCTGGGGCGTGCAGCAAACTCATAACTTTATGGTTTTGGTCCATCGTAAGTAGAATTATAAACATTTAAAGTTTCCTCTGGGTCAGCACCGCATTAGAATCCATATTTTTGTCTGGATTAAGCGAACAGGACTCCCTCAGCTGATGTCACTTGGTTTGGCCCAAAAAAATACAAAAAAAAACTTTCTCACAAAAATGACTCTAAAAGCCCAAAAAATGTATGTATGTGTAAAAAAATGTTTTAAACAAGTTTCTATTATGTTTCTCCAAACAATGGTTCATGGGAGTCTCTAACCTGCAATTTGCTCTTTAAGGAAACTTGGGAAACTAACCCTAACCTAAAGGTTACACATAAATACATTGTATGTTTAATTTTTTATAGCTACATCCTTTGCCTCATACTGTTGCTCTTAGCAAAGAAAAAAGCAGCAATGACAATAAAGATCTTGTTTTGTATCGTCCTTGTAAGACTGTAATTATTTTACCATATTGTGGGGGCGTTTTGCCTCCTTCAAGATGATCTTCCTCCTCTCCACGATCAAAGGGGTTGAGGTGTGTTTGACGAAAAAGTGCAAGTCTCTCATCATACTCCATCTTACTGGCTACATCTAAGAGGGACAAAACACATCAGAGTGATGCAGACAAGTTGAAAAACACGTTCCTGCCCTTGTAATGGAAGCTAGCAAGCTAATGTTTCTGCGTGACAACTATAATGGATTCAGATCCCATTTAAATGTTGCTACTCTCTAAGCTCTAAGCATTGTTTAACAACAATAAAATCCCACAGACAGGGCTCAAATAAAAAAACATGTTGCAATATTTATTAGATTCAAAAAACAATGTCAGCAATTTGAAACTTTCTGCTTTGCTCTCTAAGAAAATCACAAATCAGTCACATATTTGGGTACTGGGGATGTTTTTAAAAATACACAGAAAATGTTATGACGTAGTGGTAGGATAAAGACTGGCCAATTCACTGATGATTCGTTTATTTGAATTTCCAGCAAAACATCATTGTAAAAAGTAAAGTGTACACTTATGTTCAAATGAGTACTGTTTAGCTCTGATGATCGATGCAATCTGGATCAATATGAAAGATTAGCAAGCAGCTCAGAATAAAGTGCATCGATCAATTTGTCATCAGACAAAATGAGCTGAAAGACAAATTATAATTTAGATGAAACATTCAAACATCTCAGACTTAGTCACATACGTTTAAAGTGTTTTTATTAGTTACAAAAAATGATTTAAACATGAAGTCTTTTCTGAACCATGGATTTGATTAAAATTACTGAATAAAGTTATTAAAGACAGACTGCATAAAAGCATAAATGAAATAAAACTTTTAAGGAAACATTTCAATGAAAAAGTACATGTAAAAGTTGCTTTGATGACCTCACTGTTTGTAATTCAATTTCTTTATCTTTGCTTTCTTAAAAGAAGACAAGTGAGTTAAAGAGGAAACTGCTTTGTGAAGCCAAACGCAGGTTTCAGAGGAAACAACAAATAAATCATATCACGATTCTTGTTGAATGTACTTCTCTACAAAGCGGTAGTCACAATTAGAATGCACAAACACACACACACGGGAAAAAACTATGAGACAACGAGCTGTGAGCTAAATGATACACTGCAAACATGTCACTAGCTAACGCTAACGGGCTAAACAGCTGTAACAATGCAGCTTTGATGCTAATATCAGCTAAATTACCGGGAAAATGGTCGGAAGCTTACCCCGTTTTCACTGTATAGTCACCAAAAAGCGAGGTCCTGTTGAATATATTTAGTAGTAGACAAAAGTGGTTTTACATGGACAGCTGCTTGTTGTTTTCCTCCTGTCATCAGCAACATCAGAAAAATTATGTCAAGTCATTCTTTGTTTGAAAAGTCGCTTCCGGTTACTTTCTTCAAAATAAAGCTTATGCTCCGGATAATTAAGAAAAATGCCAGATTTAAAGTAAATACCAAAAAGTAAATTATTTTTTAAAACCTGTCTTTGAATCCATTTTTTTATTTGGACACTTGTTTTTCATAATGCAATGTCACCATTTTCATGAAAGAGGCTTTACAAGCTTTTACTTTGAAAGTTTTATTTAGCTGTTTTTCCTTTAGAGCTGAAAGATGTCTTCTAACTTCCTTGTTGTCATTTTGGAGATAGCCAGTGTGGGCCAATGGACAGCATTATTCACAGCATTTGTTGTCAGGAACTGGAACCATTCAGGGAGCTCTTGTTGATTCTGGACCCACCAGTACCACATCTCCTCTGTGTAACGGGCCATCCTGGATTTGAGGGCTGCTGCATGAATCCTTTTGTGTTGATGCTAGCTTATCAAACATTTAAAGAGCAAGTCACCCCCTACAAGAAGAGTACTTCACTCCCACTTCATGTTTGAAAAATGCTACAAATGCTGTTGACTAGCAGACCGAGAGGGTGGAGCCACTAACAAATACACACACTCAAGAACGACATTGTGACATCATAATGTACCAATTTACATCATAGCATACCTCTTAGCCAATAGCGGTGGCAGATTTAAATTCAAATGCAGTGAAGAGTTTTTACCTGACAACGGCACAACACTGACAGTTTCAGGCAGAAAATTTAAATTTGAACTAAGATGCACTAAAGTGCAAAACTATTGACTACATGTGTCTGCAGCACGATTAGACACATATTTATGTAATTTATCAGAAAAAAAATGTTTATTTCGGGGTGACTTGCTCTTTAAGGAGCAACATGAACCCCCCTACATCTGCAGTTCAATGAGTAAGAACATATTGATCCACTAGTGTCATAAGTATTAAGTTTAGCAACAGTGCATCACTGTTATCATCAATATTTGACAAAATGCTACTGAAAATAGTCATAAAAAATTTCCTGCTAACAATAAAAGACAAATCTGTAACATTGCTGACAATTCCACTTCTTCATTTTGCAGACAGAATCTTTGTTGCTTATAGACAATGACCCGATGGACACATGGCATCATTGGGCGACACATCCGCAAACCTCTGCCATCTTGTGTGGTGAATGCCATCAGAGCAGCCTTCCCAGATGATGCTGGACACTACAAAGGCGCGTGACCTTCTTTCCACCGGCGCCGTCAGCAGCACGTTACTGCAGCACGTCATAGCTGCTGATAGGAACCGCTGTGGTCAACAAAACCTTTTCCACCGGAGCCGTCAGCAGCGCGAGTCGGCCGCTTCTCAGGAGCAGCATGTTGCGGCCCTTACGCGCCGGTTCTATTTTCTACACGCTACGCCTCTGAAACGGGTCAAGTTTGACATTTTTGGGGAAGGAAAGACAGGAAATCGGACGCAGAAACGGAGCGAAGCTCCCGAGATTTTCAGAATAAAGAAACGTACTGCCTTCTGGTTGCTTTACTTTTAAAAAAAAGTTACTAACTGTGCGGCCCCGTGAGAAGTTATCACCTAGCTAGCGGTCTCCTTTGTTTTTCAGGTTCGTATTGACGATTATAAAACGGACAGAACATAAAACACAAACCTTTTGGAGCCATGTTGTAGTTTTCTCCTGCTTGTTGTTGTGTTTACTCGTGTGACTTCGTGCTCTGTCGATGACAGCTGCTCCCCTGCTGCTACGCGTCTCTGGTGGGAAGGGCCAAGCAGCAGCTTACGCAAGCAAGACGTGCTGCTGCAGTAACGTGCTGCTGACGGCTCCGGTGGAAAGAAGGGGTAAGGGCCGCGACATGCTGCTCCTGAGACGCGGCCGACTCGCGCTGCTGACGGCTCTGGTGGAAAAGGTTCTGTTGACCACAGCGGTTCCTATCAGCAGCTATGACTTGCTGCTGCAGTAACGTGCTGCTGACGGCTCCTGTGGAAAGCCGGGGTAATGCCGCGCTTGCCTTTTCATCTGCTTCTCGATTCCTAGTTTGTGTAAACTTTCCTTGAATGCACGCTTCACATTGTAAATCTTTGTTCATTTTACCCATAATTTTCATCTCATCGACAACATTTTGCAGATTTTGAACATCATCATAATTACAGTGGCCTAGAATTTCATGCCACGTTTGCATATAAAAACACCCAATTACATTTGTCTTCAAACTCTTTCAGTGTTTATAAAGAACAGTCTCTCTTGTTCATAAATGGGGAACTTTGTTCCATCAACATGTTTAAGAAAACTGTCCCCATGTTTAAAAACCACCGTGGCTCCATTACTAGCCACTGCTTTAACTGACAGAATGTCCTGAGGAAATGATGGGATGTATAGTGCTTGTTTCAGTGTTACCTTGTGGCTGCGTCCTCTGCTGTCCAACATACTTATCTCGGCATCTCCTCACCGTTGTGCAGCTCATCTGCTCCTCCTCCCATCAGCCAAGTCCATGTAGTGAGCCTCTGGTCAAAATGTCTCATCAAGACTTAAAGTCCTCGATCTTGATATGTGACGTTGCTCCTGTGTCCACCAGTAGCTGTTGATTCGGCATCTCTGGTTCGTTGTCCCGGATCTTCTGGAGTCTGGAACCGGTCTTGAACGTGTAGTCCTTCTCCTTGTCATCCTCCGCGATTCCTCTTGCTTCATCTCGTTTCGGCCTTCTGCAGGTTGCGTCTTTGTGTGTATGGGTGTATTACTGCGGAAATAACTGTACCGCACTTTGGATTGGTACATTCTCACAGTATGCACCTTCAGTCCAGATTTAAAACACACAATCTCTTTGTTCTTTGATCTTCCATCACCTGCACTCTATGAAGCGGATTCCTGGTCAGGATGCACTTTTGTCCCCATTACGTTGTCATCAGTTACAGCTGCATGCATTCTCTCGGTTTCTTCATAACTTCTAAGTTTTACTTTAAATTCTGGAAATGTGATTTTTGCGTCACTCCTGGTAACGTGCACAATAAGGGGTTTAAATGTCTCTGGCAGGCCTTTCATTATCATTGCGATCAGAAGTCCCTCAGTCAGTGACTCACCAGCATTTTTTAACGCAGTGATGATTGCTTCTGCTCGGATAATATAATCTGTCACACTCTCGTTCCTTTCATTTGTGAGAAGTCAATTCAGTGTACAAACTTATGATCCATGGCTTGCCCACTCCAGCATAATGATCTCTTAAAATCTTCAGTGCTTTCCGACCATCATCAACTGCATCTCTCAGGATTAATGATAAATTCTTGTCATCCAAAAATTGGATCAACTCTGCATATGCTTCTGTGTTCCTGTCAGTCATCGGCTTCTTCACCTTCAGTTTCTTCTGATTTTAAGATGACATCTTTCAAGCTTTGTAATCGGAGATGACCCAGGAATTTCGTTTCCCATATTTCATATTTTCTTTCATCTCCATCAAAAAGCAAACGGGAACATTGACTCCCCGAATCTGCTGCGCGCCCGCTCATGATGCGCAACGACGCTCACTCACTCAATTGTGCCAAACTTCTCACACCTGCTGGTGATTCGCTGATTCAGGTACGCTGCCCTTCCTCCGGTGATTGCAAACTCTCTTTGCTGCTCATCTGGGCCCATAACCTGTTAGCAGAGTTGATTTGTGCTGCATTATGGCACTAGAACTTGAGTAGATAAGTAAGATAATAAGAAATCAGACATTGTCTTCATTCTAATGGATGACTCCACCACTGCTCCTCCATCAAGCAGTAAGCTCATTCATTTGACAGATAGGGGAGGGCGCGGAGCCCCACACCGCCACTTCACCGTGATGTCAATTGTCTGTGACGTGACAGACAAACAGGAGTTTGTACAACCCCCACTTACACAAACATTAACCATATTTGAACTAGTTTACTTGGTTTTACCTCAGCAACTAAAAATGACCGATTTGTCGTTGTCCTCTTGTTTGCCTCTGCGTTTACCTCTGGGCATGTCACGTGTCACGTGACTCTAAAACCGCGCGTTTTTGGGGGGTGCTTGCTTTCATCCCTTTATTTAGTATTTTTAAACACCTGCTAATTGTATGGAAACCTGGGAGTATAACTAAAGTAGCTTATTTACATTAGATTATGCTTTTTTGCCATTTTAAAGAACATGAAAGATGGCCTTTAAGCTTTTCAATGGCGCCCCGAAAGGGGTGGCCAAGGGTGGCCATGGCCACCCCTAGAAAATGACTGCCCTCCCCCCAGGAAAAGCCAGTGCTAATAAATCATATTCACTCAAACCATCAATTGATCTTATTTATTCATGACATAATTGTAAAACAAAATAAAATAATATAATTAATGAGTACAGAAATAATCCGATTTTTTACACATATGTTTCTGCTGCTCATTGTAACGTGAGGAAGGAGCTATTCCTCCAAGGTTATTTAACCTCTCTCCACAGATGCCTCTGACACAGTGCTAGAGTGCATGAGACTGCCTCAAGGTCATGCATTTGCTTCTAAAACTGTTAAATAAATAAATAAATCAAAGAACTCTATTTTTAATAAAGCTAATAAAAACAAAGTGTTAGTCAATGATATAATGTTGACGGATCTGTGAAATAACAATGTTATGATTAATATGCTTTAATAAGTAAATGACTTTAATCTAGTGCACTAGACATGCTGATACACGTAATGTAAACACAGGACACATTGCTGTTACTGATCCAATCAGAGCCTTCCTTTCTGAAGCATGGCTCTGTGGTGTTTATAAATCTGCCAGCTTTGATTCGACCAGAAATCAAAACATCCAGATTAATAAAACTAGTTCCCACGCCATCTTAAAGGGACTTTATGGAGTTTTGAATTTTTATGCTCGTGATTGCCCCCTCAGGCAAAAAGCGTAACGGCAGCTTCAATAGTAGGCTCGTGCACGAGGCGCGCATGCTGTTCGTGCACACTCCTTAACGAAAATAACAGCTGAGACAGAGCACAGTGCTCTGAGAGTGTCCCGTGTGTGTGTGTGGCCTGGAGGACAGAGGACAGGAGAACGCACAGCTAATTAATT